AGCTTCATTCTTTTACATGTGGCCCAGCACCATTTGTTGAAAGACTATCCTTTTCCATTTTGAGTTGTCCAGTCCCCTGTCAGAAGTCAGGTGGCCATAATGTGTTTATCCCTATATTCTCAGTTGAATTCCACTGACCTGTATGTCTTTATTTGTGCCAGAGCCATTCCATTTTGAGTACTATAGCTTTTTTAGGAGTTTTGAAGTCAGGAAGCATAAACTATACAACTTTGATCTTTTTCAAGAATGTTTGGCTATTCTGCATCTCTTACGTTTCCATATGAATTTTAGGATTAACTTTTCAATTTCTGTTTAAAATCAAAAGGATTTTGATAAGAATTGTGTTGAATCTAAATCAGTTTAGGGAATAATGCTATTTTAATAATAAACTAAGTCTTCAAATCAATGACCATGAACTGTCTTTCTACCTATTAAGTCGTCTTTGAGTTTTTTCAATACTATTTTCAGTGTATAAATTTTGGAGTTCTTTTGTAAATTTAAGCCTACGCATTTTATTGCTTTGGAAACTAAGTGGAATTGTTTTGATTTAATCACTCATGTAAAATATATAATTTTATATTGATCTTATATCCTGCCGTTTGCTGTACTTGTTTATTAGTTCTAATCATTTTAAATGTATTTGGATCATAAAGGATTTTCTAGATGCACGATCATGTCGTCTGCAAGTAGAAATAATTTTGCTTCTTCCATTCCAGCCTGAATGCCTTTTCTTTTTTGCCTGCTTGTTCTGACTAGAACTTCTAGTAAGTTGAGCTCAGAGATGAGAATAGATTCTTGTCTTGTTCTGATCTTAGAGGCTTTCCATGTCTCTCCATTGTGATACCAGCTGTGTACTTCTCATTGGTGCCCTTGACCAGGTTGAAAGGGTTCCCTTCAAGTCTTACTATGTTTTTTTTTTTTTAATCCTGAAAGAGGGCTGGATTTTTTTTTTTTATTCTCTTTCTGCAGCTATTGAGGTGAGTATCTGATTTTCCCCCTATTTTATTAGCATTTTTATATGTTGAATCAACTTTGTATTCCTGAAATAAATCCTATATGGTCATGGTGTAGAATCCTCTATGTATGTTGTGGATTTGTCTGCTCTGTTTTATCGAGGATGTTTAGGTCTCTGTCCTTTTAAGGGTTATTGGTGTAATTTTCTTATGATTTCTTTGTTTGATTCTGGCATCAGAATAATACTCACCTCATAAAATGAATTGGGACATTTCCTTCCTCTCTTAGTTTTGGAAACATTTGTGAGAAGCTTTTTAATATATAATGCAATTCACTAGTAAAGCCATCTGAGCTTGGGCCTTTGTTTTCCTTGGTGGAAAGTTATTTGATTACTAATTCTGCCTTTTTTCAGTTTATAGATAATCAGTGTTCTTGGTTTATATCTTTCTAGGACTTGGTCTGCTTCATCTGGGTTATCTTATTTGCTATTGTTCCTAGTATTTCCTTGACTGGAGGCATGACTCAAGTGGCAGAGCATCTGCCTAGCAAGCACAAAGCCCTGAGTTCCAACCCCAGTATTGAAAGAAAGAAAAAAAAAAACCCGTAGTATTTCCTCTGTAATCCTTTTTATTTGTGTAAAGTCAGTATGCTCGAGGTTTTGAGTGAGGGTTTTATTTGTTTGGTTTGGCTTTTGATTTGTTTTGTTTAGATACCCTTTGTCAGGTTTTTCTAACTTGCTGAGTTTATATCATGAATTAGTGTTGAATTTTGTCACATTATTTGTGTGTATCAATATGTATTACAATGATTTTCATGTTCTCTCAATACAGAATTATACTGATTAATTTTCAGTCATTAACTCCATCTTGCATTTCTGGGATAAACTTCACTTACTATAATGCATTATGTTTTTATATGTTGCTGTGTTTAGTTTGCTAATGTTTTGTTAAGGAATTCTGCTTGTGCATTTATGAGGACTATCACTCTAAGGTTTCTTCTTTTTAAATGTTTTTCTCTAATTTTGGTATAGGAGAATGCCAGCCCCATAAGAGGAACTGGGGGATGTTCTTACTTCTGGAAGAAATTATGTAGAATTTGTATTATTTCTTCCTTAAATACTGGTGAATTCAAATCGACCAGTGAATTATGGGCTTGGAGGCTTGTTTGTGGGAAGCTTTTTTAATAGTAAAAATAATAATAAAGTTTATTAGGAAAAAAACTAGTACTACAAGACAAAAGTGGGGAAAAAGGAGAAAAAAGGGAGAAACATTTCCTGCTTTCCATGTAAGAAATGGGAGAAGAAACTCCTGAACTCAAGTTTCCTTAATAGGCACTAAAGTTGTTAGTTTCTCCTGGAGTAAACTTTGTTTCTTTGTGTCTGTCAGATTATTTGTCTCACCTAACTTGTTGAATTTAATCAACATTAAATTCAAGTTTATCATCATTTTTAGTCTCTTTAACATCTGTGTCCTCTGTACAGGGACTAAAAATGCTGAGCTTTAAATCGCTCCTCTTTCATTCCTATACTGAAGAGTTGTGTCCTTTGACTAGAGGATTATCAATTTTATTGAACAAGCCAGCTTTTATTTTCATTTGTTTTTCCTGTACTTTTGTCCATCTTCTGTTTTATTCATTTCTGCTTTCTCTGAATTATTTCCTTTCTTCTTACTTTACCCTTAAGTCACTCTTAGGGTGGAAGCTTCTAACGCCGACTTTAAACCTTACTTTTCAAATAAACCCTGCTTTAGACTAGTAGTGTTTCTTTTTCTGAGGTCAGGTCTAATTTTCTGTAGTAATATGACAGACATCCAGCTCTCTCTTCATTACTTTTTGCATGATATATCTTAAATATGAATCTCTTGACTTTTCTGGAATTCTGAGATATTTGCATATAATGTAATTTTCAGTTCTGCTGGGTATTTATCTGCCTCGTCTACTTGTTTGATAGTAACCTCCCTGGCCTTTCATTCTTTATGTCTCCTACCTTATTTTGTACCGAGAATTTTTATCTCCACAGCTTACTTATCAGCTGCAATTTTTGCTTTACTTTATATATTTGTTTTTTAAGCTGTATGTTTTAAATTGATCACAGTCCACCTTCAAATAATATTCGCCTCCTTCCCATATTGTGTGAGAACTTAATCAATAATATCTTCTGCCTCCCCATCCTGGTCTTCATGCTATTGTTGCTGTACTATTTACTTTTACTTATAATTGCCACAGTTCATTGTCACTGTTTTTCAATGAGTAATCAACTGTCTTTTAAAGAGATTCAAAATAAGAGAAGATATTTTTGTATTTATCCGCACATACCCAGTTTCCAGCACTCCTTCTTCTCTGTAGATCCAAGTTCTCATTTGATGTCATTTTTTCTTGGACCTAAAGAACTTCCCTTAATATTCCTCCTAATGTAAGTTCAATTTTTTTTTTTTTTTTGCTTAAAAGTTTTTCATCTTCATTTGTGAAAGATATTATTGCTGAGCATAGAATGTTGAGTTGACATGTCTTTTAGTACTTTATTCTCTTGCCTTCTGGGGTTGCATAATTTCTGATGAGAAGTCTGTTGTCGTTCTTATTTTTGTTTCTCCGTTTGTAATTTCCCCCTGCAGTTGCTTTTTAAGATTTTCTTTTTATTGGTTTCCCATGGTTTGATTATGTTTCCTTTGTGTTTATGCTGCTTGGGACATACTGAGTTGTTTGAATCTGAAAATTCTGGAAAATTTTTGACCAATTCTTCAAATATTTTTTGTTGCCCCATTCTCTTTTTCTCAAACTACCGGGTTTTTTTTGTTTGTTTGTCTGGTTGGTTGGTTGGGTTTTTTTTGTATTTGTATGTATGTGTCAAATACATATAATATAGTAGCACTGTATAGTAGTGCTATAATATAGTAGCACTATCTGCTACTGCTCATGCCCTGTGCATTTTTTTTCCAGCCTTGTACAAAACCTCTCTGTTTTTCATGTTGGATAGTCAGCCCAGTCTCCTATTCATTCCTACATGGCATCTCTTACTTTTTACCCTATATGGTATATTTTCCATGTACACGTTCTAAATGAGCTTGAGCTCACTTGGGCTGGCTACTTTTTATTTCTCTTCTCATGATGATCTGTTTTCCTTCCTTTCCTTGAACATATTTATGGTATTTACAGCAGCCCTCTTAAGGCCTATTGGTGGAGTCCACACCTCCACCACACCAGGTCTGCTCGCTCTATTGATTGGCCTTTCTCCTGGTTAGAGGCCTGCTTTACTGTGTTTGTTGACACTGTGAATCATGCATTGTTGGGTGCTGGATCCCATTGTATTTCTTGAAAGAACAGTGGACTTTGTCTGCACTCCAGTTTCTTAAGATCACGGTTGTATTTCTGAGACTTATTTTTAAGATACTAGGGCAGTTGTGGCCTTTCGTCCGTGGTGAGTTTGGTTCAAAGGGGACTCTGCCCAGCTCTTCATGTACTGAAGTCTGTCAGCCCAGGCACCATGTGATCTCTGCCAAACCTTTTTATATCTGAACCTCAGTTTCTATGTCTTACGGTGATATGTTTGGTAACTTAGTGCTTCATGTCATGTAAGTGGGACTTTAGTTTTATTTTGTTCATTTAATAAAACTTCTAATAGATGTTCTGACTAAAAAAAAAAAAAAGCACACTTTAAAGGAATAAGAGATTGTGAGGTGCTGCTGGCTACCTGGGGTGTAACTGACGTGCACGAACATATGCATATGTGACACACACATAGTTTCAGAGCCACAGACAACTCTGGTTGTGGGTAGGTTCAGGATTCCTGGCCAGGCTCAGATCCCCACTAAGAGTTCCCTTTGCCACAGGCACAGGTTTAGATCTTCCCTGTGTTGTCTCCAGAGTCCTTGCAGCAGTTGTGTGACAGCCATGCGATTGTCCTTGCTTTTCCAGATGGTGAGGATGAGCTTAGATAGAATTTAATCCCGGCCGGAATCCCAAGGGCCACGTTTTACTTTTACCCTGACCTCTTGCTTGTCAGCCAGCCTCCTAACCTTCAAAGCAAACACTCTGTTCCACTGTGCCCACAGCCGACAATGAAAACAACATCGCCGCCAACCAGTCCCGGTCCCCACCTGCTGTGGCGGAAGAGAAGTGGAAACCTCAGGCTCAGAGGAACAGCCACAACAACAGTAGGTCTCCTCAGCAGGGCTGGAGCTCCGGATCCCTGGAGGTCCTGCCAGCCCCTCTGTGGTGTCCCCAACCCCTTGCCACCACGTGTGCCTCCTGTGGGGCAGCATCCAGAACACACTGACACTCACAGCCCTGTTGCAGGGATTGCTAATGCAGGGTAGGCACATGAGGCCAGCCAGAAAACACGATCTGTTTGTGGTCGGAGAGCACCGATCAGTGCTGGAATCACAGCCGGACCCCTCATCGCCGTGACTTGCTGGCTGCTCTTTTCTGACAACTGGCCCTGCATATTTTACTCACCGGAAATCCCTATTTTAATGGCAGTTCCCACACTGAGGAAGAGGTTAGACTAGATATTGTCAAGGCCTAGGTCATGATGCACTCACATCAGGTCACGCTGCACATGCATATTTTCTGTTCCTGTGCCCAATGGCAGGCATGCCTAATCAATTTCACAACTTTATCCCTGTGAGATCGCCACATGCTAAAAAAGCAGCATGCAGCACCATTTGGTGGGCAAGATAAAATATATTTGTTATTCCTAATACTCAAAGTTCAGTGTGTTAGGCTGCTACTAGACCAAACAACCTTGAGTGCCAGAATTAATCACATCTCTCTTTGTGTCCCCTGCTAGCCACGACCAGTGGTCTAACCCCCAACAGCATGATCCCAGAGAAAGAACGGCAGAACATTGCAGAGCGGCTGCTGCGGGTCATGTGTGCCGACTTGGGTGCTCTGAGCGTGGTCAGTGGGAAGGAGTTCCTCAAGCTGGCCCAGACCTTGGTAGACAGTGGTGCCCGCTATGGAGCCTTCTCAGTCACTGAGATCTTGGGCAACTTTAACACGCTGGCACTGAAGCACCTGCCACGTATGTACAACCAGGTGAAGGTGAAGGTGACGTGCGCCCTGGGCAGCAACGCCTGCCTGGGCATTGGGGTCACCTGCCACTCCCAGAGTGTGGGCCCAGACTCCTGCTACATCCTCACAGCCTATCAGGCTGAGGGCAACCACATCAAGAGCTACGTGCTGGGTGTGAAGGGTGCAGACATTCGTGACAGTGGTGACCTGGTGCACCACTGGGTACAGAACGTGCTGTCCGAGTTTGTGATGTCGGAGATCCGGACGGTGTACGTGACGGACTGCCGGGTGAGCACGTCCGCCTTCTCCAAGGCCGGCATGTGCCTTCGCTGCTCAGCCTGTGCCTTGAACTCGGTGGTGCAGAGTGTGCTGAGCAAGCGGACGCTGCAGGCCCGCAGCATGCATGAGGTCATCGAGCTGCTCAACGTGTGTGAGGACCTGGCAGGCTCCACGGGCCTCGCCAAGGAGACCTTTGGGTCACTGGAGGAGACGTCACCGCCTCCCTGCTGGAACTCGGTAACAGACTCGCTGCTGCTGGTGCATGAGCGCTATGAGCAGATCTGTGAGTTCTACAGCCGGGCCAAGAAGATGAACCTCATCCAGAGCCTCAACAAGCACCTGCTGAGCAACCTGGCCGCCATCCTGACACCTGTGAAGCAGGCGGTCATCGAGCTGAGCAACGAGAGCCAGCCCACCCTGCAGCTAGTGCTGCCCACCTACGTCCGGCTGGAGAAGCTGTTCACGGCCAAGGCCAATGACGCGGGCACTGTCAGCAAGCTGTGCCACCTCTTCCTGGAGGCGCTCAAGGAGAACTTCAAGGTGCACCCGGCCCACAAAGTGGCCATGATCCTGGACCCACAGCAGAAACTACGGCCTGTGCCACCCTACCAGCACGAGGAGATCATCGGCAAGGTCTGCGAGCTCATCAATGAGGTGAAGGAGTCCTGGGCTGAGGAGGCCGACTTTGAACCTGCCGCCAAGAAGCCCCGCTCTGCCACTGGCGAGCACGCCACAGCTCAGGAGGACGACCGGCTGGGGAAGAATGAAGTGTATGATTACCTGCAGGAACCCCTCTTCCAGGCCACCCCCGATCTCTTCCAGTACTGGTCGTGCGTGACCCAAAAGCACACGAAACTTGCCAAGCTTGCCTTCTGGCTCCTGGCAGTTCCAGCTGTGGGGGCTCGAAGCGGGTGTGTAAATATGTGTGAACAAGCACTTCTGATCAAAAGGAGGCGACTGCTCAGTCCAGAAGACATGAACAAACTCATGTTTCTCAAATCCAACATGCTTTAAGACATTACTTCAGAAAAAAAAACTTTAAAAAGCAAATGAAACAAAAAGAAAAGAAACATTAGAAAAAAACCACACAACACTGTCACAAAGAAAAGGAATTTAAGTTCTAAACACTGTGGACCTCATTATAAATGCCCCCTGGAAATTAAGTGCTTTTTTAGTGTGTGTGTGCATGTGTGTCCACACCCACACGTGTGCACAAGTGTCCAAGCGCACAGGCCATGGATGTAGGGTATGGAGGGTTTCATGTTCACCTGCATGGCCAGAGAAGCCCGCACACACATGCACACACACACAACCCTGGTGCATATGCACACGCCTGCTTGCAGACTCGTGTGCATTGAGCTGGGTGTGCCAGGAAAGCCGAGCAACTGGGGAAGAGGGAGAAGTTTCGCCTTTTCTCTGGCAGGGGCTCTAAGGACTCCATCTTCAGGTGTGCAGATTGGGAGAAGCTTGTGAAATGTTGAGGCAGCTGAGATCTGAAGTGACTTGAGACTCCCTATTCTCTACCCCCGACCCCTTCCTCTCCATTACCTACGTCCCCCTAACCCACAGCGCCCCCACCTCCTGCCCCGGCTGCTCTGCCACGGATTCTCCAAGCTGCACCAGATGGACAGTTTCTGCACTGGACTTTGTTTCTCGTTCACCTTCAGGGCATTGAGCTGCTGCCTCTGTGACTCCCCTTGGGTGTCCTGGGGCAGCCGCCTTAGAAACACACCTATCTATCTCCCAAATCAGGAAAGGAGACTTTAAGAATATAAAGCTGATGTTTTGCTTTTTAATATAAGAGAAAAAAAAGACGTTTTTTAGAGAAGTATAGATACCTGTCTCCACCCAATAATTTTTCCAACATTTTAGCAATTTTTACCTTTTTTGTGGGGTTTGGTTTTTTCCCAGATTTGGTTTAGACTCTGCTAGGAGGCACTGAATGTCTGTAACTTATGTTTCAGAGTTTTCTTTTTTTACTTGCCATTTTTCCTCAAGTCACACTGTAAACTAGCTCATCTCAGTGACAAGTTCAGTACCCTAAGGTGTTTCGGCCTTCCCCACGCAGTTCAGTTGTCACGTATTCAGACAGCCAAGACCAGGGTCGTGCTGGCTGAGGACCAAGGTGGAGGAGTCGTGGGTACCTCACCTCCTCCAGATGTGGGTTTGGCAGAAGCTATAGGGGCAGCATGTGGCTTGGGGTCCTCTGAAAGGAAGCAGAGCCGCCTCCTGGTTCACTGGCACTGCAATACCTGACTCCTCACCATACCACACCTCTGACCTTTGTCACAGCAGGGACTTCTGACCCGATTCATATTACATCCTCCACACCTCAGACCCACAGTCTCCTCCCTCCCCAGGGCCCACAGCCCTCAGGGGTCCCAACAGGCGCCTCCCTCCCAGCTCCACCCAGGACAGCGGCTGAGGATGGTGCCTTGTGAGCTGAACAGTTGTTCTGCAGGTGGACATGCTACTCGATGCTGTGAAAGGGGTCACTCTTGACCTCACTCCTGAGCCTTGGCCAGGAGCAACTGAGCTTCTACACAGTTGAAGCTGAGAGGTGATAAACCGTTCTCTTCACAAGAGGAGCATCAGCTCTTGACCCTCACTCCTCTCTGCGAATAAAGAGCTGGTAGTCCCTCAGCCCTCCCGTGACCATAGCTATGAGAAGGGGCTGCTCATGTTTCAGGCAGAGAACAGCCACCATTGTGGGGCTGTTTGCAAAGGCAACATGTGCCATCCTGGGGATTGGCTGGGTGGACACCCCCCTTCCCGGTAATAAAATGTTACTCAACTGCGAGATACCTCGACTACAATAAGCACTGTACTACAATACAGCCCTCTCCCCGCGTGTCCCCAGCTGGAGAGGAGAGACGTTGATTTAAAAACTCAAGAAGGTTTAGGATCAGGATTGTGGGCTCAGACACTGTCCTTGGGGACCAAGCCTGCACACTTCACCTCACAAGAACTAACCCAGGGCTCCCCTGCAGAGTCTTGGACACACTGAAATGGATCAAATGACCCATTTCCACATTCACTCCAGGAAGCTGTGGTCTCAGGAACCACTATGCCAGCTCCTGTCTTGAAGAAGTTCTAGGCATTTGTCCCAAGACATCTCCAACTTGGATCTCACCATCAGAAGAGCCTCTGTCCAAAGAGGGGCATGAATGGGGAGGAATCCAGACAAGACCCAAATATCACTCCCTAGAGAATCAGGAAACATCAGCAAATTATTCTGTTGGACGTTTTGGGGCATTCTGGAAGGTAAGCTCTGGGTTGTTGATCAGCAGATGCCTCCAACCTTGCTTGTCTGCCAAGGATGGGGCCACGACCTGGCCCTTTGAACCACACAAGGACAGGAGCTGCCCACTTTGCATGGTCAGTGAGAGCAAAGCCAACACACTCTTGCAGCACCATCAGCCAAGCCCAGATGTGTGTTTAGAGCCTCGGCATTCTCCTGTCTGGAGCATGGGATGTTTGCCCTCTGGGAAGAGTTAGAGTGAGTCGTGTTAAACTTGGGGTATCTGGCCATGGGTTGTCACCTCCCGCCCAGCTCTTTTGCACCTCGGCTTAGTGTGCCTCTGCAGGTTGATGTGAATGCTACTAGGTCCTCAGAAAGCTGTCTTCTGGAGCTGCCTTGACCACATAAATAACAAGGTTGGCAGGCAGTCACTTCTTTTTTGCGACCTCTGGTTCCCCAGAAACTGGTCTCATCAACAGGAAAGTCTGCACCCAGGTGCCCTCTCATGCAGACCATTCCTAAATGCAAACCCTGCTGCCACCAACAGCTGAATAAAACCCAAAGATCTCACAAGTCCAACCACTCGTCTCCTGATTTCCAGCAATATCCATCTTACCAAATTCTAGTTCAGCCAAAGGATTGAGCCAGGCTCTTCCGGTTCATCTCCTGGTGCCTGGCCTGGCCTTGACCTTCAGGAGGATCTTTGTCATCTGCCTCCCAGTTCTGTGATCACTGTAGATCTTTCCACCACAGATATTTGAGGCTGGGGGGACTAGAGGTTGGGCCCTTTCTCTCCTATTCTGGGCTGCTCAGGGTGGCTGCCTGCTGCTTGGGTACAGCTTGCCTCAAGCCAAGTGACTTCCAGGATAGAAATGGCCTTTATTTTGATATCCACAGAGCCAAGGGGGAAGCACAAAGAAAAAATAACCTTCACTTGGCAGAATTTTTTCCCTCATCGGAGGTCAGTTTGTTTTGTCAACAAAGCCCAGGCCGGGCACCAGAGCATTGTGGGTGGATGTGAAGTGGCTGAGGGGTCTCAAGTCAATGAGCAGCAATGGTGCCATCACGATCAGTGGCATGGAAACACTTGTCCCAGCACAGTTCTCCTAGTCCCAGTACTTAGGTCCACCCGTGGCATTTAGGAACCAAGAAACTGAAATGGCACCACCTGAGCAAACTCCATGCCTCTAATGCCTAGGGGTTCCCAGCGCAGAAAGCAACCTGCTGCATGACAAGTAACTGCACACTTGGCGAGGGTTGGGGGGGTGGCTCTTGATTGGAGAAAGGCACCAAGGTTTCCTGTGCGAAGGACAGTCAGTGACATGGATGAGAAGTCACAGGTCACAAGGATTGTAAGAGGAAATTCAGACACCAGCCGTATAGGCTGGCCGACACTTCTTTCCAGTTTGACCCTTTCCTCCTGCACTTTTAAGAAACAGCAGAATTGTGCACGGCATGTTTTCCACTGTGAAGCTGAACCTCATCCTCTGTTCTTGAGCAAGGCCATGCTTTCCCTGGACTTGGGTGGATTCCTTGAAGAAGAGTGGGTACCTGGAGAGATGTCAGGGATACAGCACTTAACTCTGGGGCCACGGGGTTACCAGAAGTTTGCAGTGAAGGTAGGATATGGATGGAGAAGGGAGGCTGTGAGATGCCACTCAGACCTTGTCATCATGCTGCCATGCCTGAGGAGGGCTCAGGGCTCAGCAAACAGCCTCCTTGCCCGCTAACCCGTGCAACATCCCTGGTTTTCCCTGGCCTTGACAATGTGGTGACACTGCTGTCTCTGGGATGTGTCTGAAAGAGAGCTCTTGGGACTGCTGGTGGGGCAGGCAAAACCAAGACTATATGAGGGTCGGGCTGGGTCTGGAGACAGCAGATGGGGGCCCCTGTGCTGGGAGGGGGCTGCCCTTCCCCTTCACTGTGGCTATTGCTTGCTAGGCCAGTTTTGGTGAACCAATGATACAGTGTTTCCCTGTTATGTTTCCTTCCCAGCTCCCCTTTTCAGGGTCTTTTGGGGGAATTTTGTTGCTGTAGTTCTTTTCCTTCCTTTCATTTGGGTCTGAGGATAGTGGTTGGAGGAGCTGCTCTTGCCAAGGAGTCTGTGCAGAGAGGCTTCTGCTGTGATGAGGGACAAGTGGGGATGCTGCTCTGATGCAGCCGTGACCCCACCACAAGCATCACTTTAAGATTCCACTTCTGTGCACGGAAGAATCTGCTAGGCTTGCAGTTGGGCGGCAGCATTACAGCCCACCGGGGTCCTACCTATCCAAGCTTGCCACGAGGCACTTGACTCTTCGAACCAAAGTTCCTTAGAGGGGCACAGGCCAGCCTTGTCCACAGCCTCAGGGGCCTGGGATTCTTGTGGCACAGCCTGAGACCCTGGTTGGCACAGACTTGTGGGGTCTGAGACCAGCAATCCAGGTGCCATCCGGGCTCTGTCTAGGACCCTCTGCTTGCCCAGCTAGGGTGGGTGGCTTCCCAAGTAGGGCTCAAGCTCACAGCTTGCCGTGGGCTGGGCCTTGCCAGCCAGGAGAGAGTAAGAGCCACTCAGCAGGGCTCTCCAGACCCCAAGCATCAGGAAATCATTTTGTACAACCACCCAAAGCAGAGATATTTTTTCAGAAGCATAAATTATTCTCAGTTGTTTTCCAATCCTACCTTTTTCTTTTCCCCACAACTTCACATTGGTGATTCGTTCACATCAGGTAAATCTTGAGAACGCCTTGGTGCCCCGTCCCTCCCCACCCCCTGCCCATTCAGTGACCACATGCGTGCGCTCCCATCCTTTCTCAGTAGTAGACGTACTAGGCAATACCATGACACATCTGACTGTGTCTCTTTTCGAGTGCAAGAAACTCGTCATCTTAAAAAAAAAAAAAAATTTACAAAAAAAAACAAACACAAAAAAATATCTTTTTTAGGCCAGAGTTTTCTACAGGTATTAATGAATATTTTTCTTAATCCTTATAAGTTTTATGTGTTTAATATTTCTTAATACCGGTAGCATTAATTTATACTTTTGTAGCAACACAATATTTTTATAAACAGCCAGTACTTGGCTCAAGTCTTCACGGGGGTTTATGCAGGGCCATCTTGGGTACCCTGTGACCATGTACTGTATTTAAAAAAAGTTACCTAATGTCACACTTGCTGTGTTAACTAACGGAAGGCATTGGCGATCTCCTGTATCGTTGGTGCAGATCTGACAGTTCTCCAAGGAGTCACGTTGCATGGGGGTTGAGTTGACGGTTCTTGTGATATGTAAACCCCCGAGACCAAACTTGAGGGTTTATTTAGGGTTTTCTGTGTGTCCTTTGGGTTTTGTTTTGTTTTGTTTTTTTCCACTTTGTTTTGGTACCATTTCTCCATTTACAGCCAAATCAGTTTTGTGATGTTTAAAACTTTTACTGATGTCAAATGGAGGAAAGGAACAGAAAAAGGTTTTTACAAAGAAAAATTTTAAAACTGAGCTGTTTAAATGTTGCTGTTTTTACTTGTCTGTTCTTGTCCAAAAGTGGAACTTTCCCAGGGAGAAGAGGAAGTTTCCACCTGGTTTCTTAAATCGCCAAAAGCCCCAGTCAGTACCTCTCCCCTTCCCCCCGGAATTCTCACATTTCCCAGGTGGTGGATGCCAAGGCAAAAAGACATCCTTTAAATGATCAGAGAGGATCAGTTGCTTAAGCGAGTTCATGTCAGTGTTGTATTTATGGTTTTGCAATAAAATGACCTAAAGGAAGCTCCAGTGTGCGCTTTTTTCTCGGGGTCAGGGTTGGGCCGTGCTGTTTTGTACTTAGTGGGGCATCTGCAGGGGGCAGGGTAAAGATATGGGCCAGAGGCGGGTCGCCGGGGTGGCACCTTGAATCTGCCCCCAAGGGGGACACTGTGAGGTGAGGCTTGGGGGTTTCTTAGCGGTGGGTGAGTCATTGATAACTCCAGTGCCAAACCTGGCTCAGCCAGTGTTTAATAGATGACTGAGGGACATGGCCAGGGAAGCGGTGACTCTTTGTGGGAGGATTGTGGAACCCTGCCCCTGGGAAGAAGGAATGGATTTAACCCCTGAGTCCTGCAGCCCAGTGCCTAAGGCTCACACCCCGGTGTGCCTGGCCCTGCTGTCATTCCTGTGGCTCTTGTGCCACCTTATCCAGTGGCTTAGGCCTCCCAAGCCATGTGTGTGATGTTACAATGGTTGTATGTATCGCCCGTTTCCTAAGAGTATCCATGGCTTTCACCCAATTCCTGATGGCATCCGAGACTCAGCACCCTCCATCCAAAAGCATGGGACTTCCACCCACGGACACTTGCCCAAAGCCTGACACCTCACAGACAGGACATTCATCCTTTAATTAGCAAACGGAAGGCAAGAAGACCCCAACGGAAGACCAGCAGTGGCCTGCATGGGACACGAGGGGCAGCCCATTGTGGGAGAGCTGCCACCTTGCTCTCCAGGTAAGTGAGTGGCAGAACCCTTCCCATCCTTGTGATGCCTCACCCAGGTCTGCAGCCAGCTCTGGGTAACGGCTCTAAGAGGCTGGGCGGCTCCCACAGGGCGGCAACTCTGCCCTCTACATAAACACTTACTGTGCCAGCTTCCTGCCTACTGAGCCTTGAGCATTCTCAAGGGAAAGCTGAAGTTTGATGAAGGAGCTTCTTCACATCTCGATGTCTGTGCAGGCTTCAGGACTCCTTTCCACACTCTTATTTTTGGTTTGTTTTGGAGATTTTTTGGCAGTACTGGTGTTGGAATTCAGGGCTTCCCATTTGCTAGGCAGGAATTCTACCACTTGAGTCACGCCCTGAGCCCTTTTTTATTTTAGTTACCGACCTCAGACTGAGTCTCCTACTGAGGCAGTATCTGGGATCACAGGTTGGCCACCAAGCCTGACCCTCCCCACACTCTTAAACCTGAAGATCAAATAAGGCTGGGACATGGCCTGCCCTGGAGCCTGCCCTGTGGAGCCTCAGGGCTCTATGAGGGTTTGAAAAGGGAAGAAAAAAAAAAATGTGTTACCTTATGAAGCAGCCATGTCTTTTTATAACAGAAGCTACTGTAACTAGGACCATTAAAAGAAGAATTTGAGACAAGACTACTTGAGGATCCTGTGGATGTTCGGGAAAGCCACGCTCCTGGGCTGAGGAGGATTCCTAACACCTTCTGAGATGAGCAGTGTGAATTCTCTGATGGAGTCACAGGTGCAGTTGCCTCAGCTCACCACCCAAGGGATGCATTGACTTTTTAAGTGATAAGTTGTAGCAAGTCCCAGGGAAGGACTGTCCAGAGAGACACAGCAGCAAGTGTCACAGACACAAGTGTCTCCAGGACAGGCAGGTGGAAAGCAGGGCTAGTGAGCTCAGAGTGACGCAGTCCCCTGGCTGCAGGAACTTCTTACTTTTCATGAGAACTGAGAAGCCAAGACCTTTCTGTGGACACTTTTTTTTTTTTTAAATGGGGAATTCAGGGCTATGCCGTGAGCCTGGCATCCTGCCCACTGGCAGAAATCATCCACACCTGGAGCTTGAACCCTTGGGCTAAGTAAGCATTTGTCCTTCAGTCCTGACCCATTTGCTCAGGGAGTCCTGGCCATGACTACAAATACTGTCCCAAGGAATGGCCCTCTCCGTTGAAACCTGGAAGCCCCAAGCTGTAGTTTGGAGATGAAGGGCACATTTTTATGTGTCTAAGGGAGCGACAAAGTTTTCTACAGTCCCACTCTGATCTCCAGGATATGGAATTTCCTCCATCCTTCCCAACAGGTTTCTTAAGTAAATAAGCCAAGGACATGAGAGACAAGCCTGCGGAGTGACTGAATTGGCCACCAGCCCTTAGGACACTGGTCACTCCACAGAGCAAGGGCTCTGCCTCGTTTCTGCTGCTGGGGGTCATTTTTCCACTTCAAAGGGCACTAAGCTGGGGGTATTTATCCCTCTGCTGTGACAGCCATTGCCAGGCCTCTGGAGGAATGCAGTTAGCAAGACACAATCATAAACCAGATGTTTGCAAATCCAGTGAGCATTCTGTTCGTGAGCCAGGCTGGTCCTGAGTGCAACGGGAAGGCTGGTGGACAGTCCTGGGGCAAAGGGCCAGGGTGAGTAGCCCAGGAGACAGACACCCAGGATGAAGTGGAGAAACAGCCAAGGCTCTTTAGCACTAGGCAGTTTGGGGTGGGAATTGGGGTGAGGCAGTGACCGAAGGAAAGGAGAAGTGCAGAGTGCAGCCAAAGATGGCATTTGTGGGCAGTTTGCCCTGAGCCCTTGGGCAGTATTTCTCCTGACCCTGGATCTCTGATGACCCCCATCCAAACCCTCCCAGAAGCAAGCACCAGCGCTTCATCCTTCTTCTCTAGCTTGTTTAAATGAAACAAAAGATCCCATCCTACGCTGTTGTGGACAGACCAATTGTGGTTTATGCTCCAGACTTTGCACAGTGATGCTTTGTATTGAAGGTCGCATTTCTAACCCCTGCAGTTTTCACTTCTGGGAACACTGGCTTTCCCCTCCACACACACCCCCAACCTTGTTACAGTTATGACAACAATGAGCTGTCAGGATGTGGAAATCCAAGAGTTCACAATTTGGTTTTATTTGGACCCAGGTCATGGCCTGGCTTGCACTGGGACGGACATCTCTGGCTTGCAGACTGGCCAGTCATCAGTTGGACAAGCGCAACAGCTCCTCGTCCCCTGTGGATACAGAGAGGCTCAAGGGGTGGGGACATTCAGGGGCTGGGTGACCTCTTGGGGAAGGGGAGGTCACTTGCTGAATGATCTCTGTCCAAAGGGCATTCCACAGAATGGTCTGACCACCTCTTCTCATTTGCCTCAGGTGCCATTTTCCAATGGGAACATCCAGTCCCAGAAATCGTAAGTGGCTTCTATTTCCTTGTGTCATTATTGATAGTAGCTGCCTTTAGCTAGGTACTAACTCCATGCAAGGTACTGTGAAGTCTGGGAGATGGATACTAAGATTATCTCATTTTACAAAAGACTCAAATTGGCCCTTGGCCCAGATGGCCAGCCTGAGTGTGGCAACATGAAAATTGGCCAATTCTGCCCAGCTCCTCACCAGCCCTGCACACCCACTGCTGGTGCCTGGCTCCCATCTCTTCAAGGAGCCAGTCCACTTTTTTTCTTGGCCCATTTCACAGATGGGAAGCGAGGCCCAGAGAGTAGGAAGGCTGCTCAACCAGTGCAGAGTACCCCACCCCTACCAGGACTCCCCCCACCCAAGCCCTGGCAGCCCTGGACCACTTACCATCACCAGGGATGCCGCAGTACTCCTTGCACTCCTTCTCAGAGTAGAACTTGTTGCCATTGCCTTGGCAACCGCCATAGGTGAAGAGGATGCACTTCCCCTGGACAGCATCGAATGCCCAAAGCTGAACAGAGCCTCGACAGGGGCCTTGGACTATGGGGAGATTGCAGGCAGCTGTGGGTGGAGAGAGGCACAGAGCATCAGTAATCTTCGCCACTGCTGACCGCACACAACACAGGACAACTGAGCAGGGGAGCTTGCTCAGAGTGGTCCCTCTTTTACAGGCTGGGAAAAAGGTCCACAGAAAAGAAGTAACTGGCCTAAAGTCACCTGTACCCAGATGTGGAATTCCTATGGCTTCCGGAAACTTGCCCAGGAACTCCATGTTGGAAAGCCTCTCTGCTCCCTGTTCATTGGCAGGTGGTTGCTGGGAGGACAGGCATGGGGGTGCACTCACCCACGGTTCGGCATGTCTGCAGACACTCCTTCTCAGAGACAAAGTTGTTGCCGTTACCCAGGCAGCCGCCATATTGGAAGGTCTCACAGGCCATGGAAGAGCCATTGTAGAAATACCTCTGGACCATCCCCAGGCAGGGACCTGCTGAGTGGCCTAGCTGGCAGGAATCTGGGGAGGCCAGAAGAGCAACACTGACTGAGTACTTACTGTGTGCCTGTTACCACTCTGGGGACTTAATATGGATCATCTCCTGTAGTTTTCACCTCTCCTCTAAGAGGAAGGATTTATGGGCGTAAGGCAGGTGAAGAACAGTTGCTCACTACCTTCTCGGCTCTTCTCTGAGAGAAGTGAAGTGACTTGCCCAGGGTCACATAGAGCTAAGATCCAAAGCCATGTCCACTGGACTCCAAAACCAGTGCTCAGTCCACTCCATAACAGTGACTCAGAGGCCCATTGTCCCCTGGGTTGGTCTCATCTGCCCAGAGATTCCATGATACTAGTGGTTGGTCATATAGTCCCCAGTCCAAAGCTGGCTAGCCTGACCCCTTCACCGAGGTGCCACCCCTTGTCTTTGCTCTCGTCCTCTGCCCCTGGAATGGCCTCCATAAACCCCTGCATGGAGGCAGGGATGCAGCATGGACTCCCCTTGGGCTGAAAGTCTCCTTGATATCCTCCTGCCCGCATCCTCTGAGGTCCCCAGCCTTTTGTCAGGCCCCTCTCTTCTGGATCCGTCACTTTTCTTCCCTGGATGCCTCCCCCGGAGACCAGAAGATAAGGATGGTTTAGCTTTATGACAGAGCAGGTTGGCTGTTTGCTGAGTAAGTTGAAGAATCAATCATGAACACTGTCACCTACACAGAGCATCCTCACACCCTTCCCCCTTACTAAATAGGACCCCTCCCCCATCCCATTGCACACAGCCAGTCCTGGTGATTAGCCCATCATATAGATTAGGAAACCCAGGCTTGAAGGCGACCCAGTGGCACAGACAGGGTAAGAGCCCACTTACTGTGGAGCTGAGAGTTCCTCCGTACATATGAGCACAGGGATTAGGCCTTATGCTCCTCTCTCCCCCACAATCCCGCCACTGCCCACAGGATGCCATTTGCCTTTTCTCCACCTAGTCCTTGACTCTCAGGGAGAGAAAGAAACTTCAAACGGCGAGCCCATCATGGGCCCACTCTGGAACACAGCGGAAGCTGGCGAAGAGGCAGGGGCTCGTTACCTTCTTTCTTGATGAAACCAGTTACTAATAGCCCAGTCCCTGACCCTTCGTCTTCTTGGGGTAGCACAGCACGCCGGGCTCTCTGGGGAGGACAAAGAGAAGAGGTTGTTGCAGACAGCCTGCTACTCTTGCTCACCTGGTCCCTGTACTAGGTAAACAATCATTGCTTTGGGAATCAAGGTAGAGACAGAAGCGCAGCTATTAGACTGGTTAAAGGACTGTTATCCCAAGAGCATCAACCTGAACTTCAGAATAGCATCACAGAGTACAGCTGCCAAGAGTCCCCTGAGGCAAGATCCCAGGCCAATTTTAAAAGGGATGCATAGGGAAACTGCTGGCTACCAGGCAGCCTTTCTGCCCCCAGGGGAAAGCTGGAATTTGAAAAGGTAGAACTATAATAACCTTAAACTTTCCCTTCTCCTTTTGAGTGGCAACTGAAAATTGTCAGGAGCTCCCAATCTCTTCCAGACTCATCTCAAACTGGAGGCATGAAGGCCTTCCTGGGTGAAGATGTTCCTGTCCTGACATAGCAGTGAAATGGGCTCTAAGAGTAAAAGGGGGAAGAGACTTCCATTCTAATTAAAGTGAAGGTGCTGAATTCATTGCGTGAGGACATGGTGTCATGGGACAGATGTACCCCACACGGGCCCTACTGGACGTAATGAGCCCCATATGAATAGTCCTGTAAAACAAGGACAGGAAGAATGTGGTGGAATGAATTGGCTCTTCCAAAATTCATTTATTGGTCTCTATCCCAGTACCTCAGAACGTGCTTTTGTTTGGAAATAGGGTTGTTGCAGATGCAGTTAATTAAGATGAGGTCATTAGAGTGGGCCCTGATCCAGGATGAGTAGTGTCCTTATAAAAAGAGGAAACTGGGCATGGAGACGCACACAAAGGGAACATGGTGTGAAGACAGAGACGGGGACTGCATCTGCAAGCCAAGGAACACCGAAACCAAAGGCTGCCAGCCAAGCCAGAGCTAGATGATATGCAGCCCCCAGAAGGAACCAGCCCTGCAGATACCTACTTGATCTTGGACTTCTGACCTCTAGAACCGTGTGAGACAATAAATTTCCAGTTAATCCTCCAGTCCATTACAGCAGCCCCAGGACACTGAGACAGAGGGTATTTGCACCAAGGTGGTACCCCTCAGGAAACTCTTACCCCTCCCCTCCCCCATTTCCTTGGGCTTCACAAAAGTAGATGAACACAAAATACCTGGGCCTTTACACTAAAGTAGGAAGGGAGTGGGGGGGGGTGGAGAGGATCAGGTTCAAATTTAGTGGGAAGAGGGTCAAAGAGGAAAGGCCAGCCTACCCACCATGTTAGATAAAACAAAGTCTGGATAAACCTGACTAAGTAGAAGCAAAGTAAAGCAAAATAGTGCAGAAACCACTTAATCCAACTCAGGAATGAACACATAAACCTGCCTGTGTTGGACAGTCATGAGCCACCGAGATGTCCCTCAGTAATGGACTTGTTGGCTCAGTGACTCAGCCAATTCTCTGCTGTCAGCTGCCAGCCTGGTTTGGAGCCCGCCCCAGCCAAAGGGAGCATCCCATCCAAGTCACGCTCCTTCCCAGCCTCGTCCACGTGAAGGTACGGTGACCCTGCCCCTTTGCACCATCTTGGGGCAACACTGAAGGGTCATCCCAGCTGCAGATGTCCCTTAGGTTTGGCGAGGCATTATGACTGTCACAGCTTGACCTCTCCTGCCCAATGCTGTCCTCATCCCTTCCCCTCCCCTGCACAGGTTTTGATCCCTGGGAACCCAACCTGCCACACCCAAGGGAAACAGAATTTGAGGAATAGAAGGTGACACGCTGTGGAGTCACTTCACTAGAACATGCATTCATTAAGACAGGGCTCAAAGGTGAAATGCTAAAACAAGATGAAACAGAACTGAAACAACATAAATCTAATGCGAGCAATAAACATCCAAACAGTAGGGAGCAGAGTAGAATGACCATCCACAGAACAGGATGATTAAAAATGGCTGAAAATAGAATGACATCATAAAAGAAAAGCTAGTGCTAACCCCAGTGAATGTGAATGAACAAAACAGATTAAAGCAATTGGACAGAAATTAGTATAGGTGGAAGACAACGATGTTCCAATTTGAGAGAGTGTCCCCTAAGTAGCAAAACCCAACAAAGGAAATGGAAGATGTACTCAAAGACATCGTGCAAGAAACTTCCCTGGAATACAGAAGAAATGCCCTCCACACATGGAAAGAGTATCCTACATTTCACCCTACAGAATTTCCAGTGCCAACACACATCCTTGTTAGCAACTGACTTTGATGATAAAGTTTTCCAGGCATCAGGGCAGAAGAAACAAATCTACAAGAAGAACCGTCACAAATAGCCTCAGGCTTTTTCACAGCAATGATCAGTGTGTGGCTGAGCAGCACCTATGAAGTTCTGAGGGACAGAAACTGTGACCTAGGGGTACTGCATCCAAGCAAAATGGCAAGCAAAAAGACATAAAGCAGGCTTCACCTCAAGCAGGCAAGATCCATGGGCTACAACACCCAAGAACTGCCTCAAAAGCACCACTTGGCAAGGAAATGGCGAGGATTGCAAGATTCATAGAAATGACTGACACAGGAAGGGAGCAGCTATAGCTATATTCACCAAAGGCAAATGCGGAATCACTAAAATACAGAAGTAGTAGAACTAGCTCTAGAGAAGTAATCGTTCTACCGTCTCTGTGGCCGTGGGAATCATAGCACAGAGTGGAATGGGATTAGCATCAGTCTGAACCACGTAAAAGAAAAAGAGCAGAAGAGACGGAACAGAGTCAGAGAGCGCTAATGGGTGTCCTTCAAACCATAGAGACCGTACTGCTTAAAGTCATGTACAGCAATGTCGGCCTCTTAGACTCCTCTCGACTTTCCTTTAGGACGTGCCTCTCTTGTGGTGAGGAAATATTTATTTGAAGTTCAATGGGCTCACTTTAGTTTCTTTTACTTTAAGTAAAACTACAATAAATGCTTTTAGAATTTAAAAATAGCACCTATAGCAAGCCATTAAATAACAGTCTATCAACGTATGTCCATCTATCTATCCTTTCTTCCATCTGTCCCTCTGTCAAGATTTCTGGAATGATGTGAACAATGATAGGTTGGGGGTGGTGAGATTTTAGTTTAATTCTTTATAATGAGTATATATAAGTTTTATAAATCAAGCAGTAATTTTTCTTTAAAAATACAGAAATAAGTGTGGTGTTAACAGTTAATTCTATATGGACATTCTTGCCTCATTTGCTTTCTTGTTTCCAAGTTTCAAGAATGTTTTTAAATAAACATTTTATATATATATATATATATATAAGTAAACAAATGTATGCGTACACACATATAGTAGAATAAACTTCCAAATACGCAGAGAAAATGAGCTGAATAAGGCGTCACCAGTATGGCAAAGGTGGGGAAGTAGAGGAGGAAGAAACCTCAAACCCAGAGGGCATCAGTGCACCGATGCACTGAGATGCCTCTTGTTCTCAAGCTGGCTGTTTTTAAGAGAAATCAGGTCGCTTCATGTTCATGAACTGAGTAGCATTCATTACTAAATCCTCAAACTCCATTATTGAGGGTCTCACTTCTTTTTGGCACTATATTAAGAGCTTTTCCAACGTATTATTGAATTCTGGTACAAACCCAGAAGGTATGAGTAATTATCCCATTTCACAGATGAGAAAAGTGAGGTCCAGCAATTAGTCCAAGTGGCAGAACCAAAACCGAGTCCAGGTGGGTCTGACCTAAAAATTCGTGCCCTCCATGACCTTCTTAGCCCCTGAAAGACCTGGCCCCACCACAGTAGGGCCTGAGCCAGGTCTGGGGCAGGGCTGGTGGGGTCGGAGAGGGAAGAGGTACTTACCAAGAGAGGGGTGGGCTGTGGCTCCTGCTCGCCAGGAACACATTCCCCTAGGCAGAGGACAGGAGAGATGGTGAACAGAGGACCAGGCTCAGGGAGAATCCTATATCCAGTTTCTTTTGGGGTTCCAGGTGGCCATCATCCTGTGCATAGCCCACTCCGTCACTGGCCCAGTCGTCCTCTCTTGTTCCAGGTCACTCATTGGAAAAGTAACAGACTGATGGCTGCACCATTGTTGCCATCTGCCCACTCTACCCCATCCCATCCCATCAGCATCATTTGATCAGCTTCATCTGAAGAATGGCGAAGCTAACATTTATTGGGTGCTTACTAGCCACAGTGCTGTGGTACTCAATGGCTTTGTCTCGCTGATCCCTCAGCTGCCCAGAAAGGAGGTACCCTTACCTCATTGCACAGATGAGGAAAGTGAGACTTGAGTGATGACTAGCCACTCAACTAAATCTGAACAGATACTCTTAACCCAACACCTTATTGCCTCCTAAGAGGTACCTATGGATTGGGGACACAACCTCACTGAGACACATGGCAGTAGAACATGGACCTGGTCTAGTTCCTGCTCTGCAAGGCACATGCTATGAGACTGGAGCAACCCAGTGGCCCTCTGATTCTCTGTAAAGAGGGAAGGGACTGCGGTCCCTATTTGTCCCAGAGGGTTATGTAAAAGACCTCGGGACTGGGGATGCTCGCTGGGGGCCATGAAGAATGAGAGGAGAACAGAAATTTGAGGTAGGTTGGAGGTACCATTTACCTCTGTTGGCCATGGTAAAGATGGAGTCCTGAGGGATGCCCACACCCAGGGCCACCTCCCTGAAGTCCTGCAGGAGACTGTCCCTCAGCTGTGGCTTCCGACCTGCAAGTGGAAAGCAGAGAGATGCTCAGAGCCACCAGGAGTCTGGGCTGGCCAGGCCCAGATGACATAGCCCAGCCATTTTCATTTGGGGACAGTCTGAGAATTGTGCATTCAATCTCCTTGACACACCTATGGGAAGATGGGCTCCCACACTGGCCTCCTGGATCCCCGCATGGGATTCTTTCCACTGGGTCTTTCAAGAGCCGGGGCTTCGGGGGTGGGATTGGAGATCAATCTGGGGGTGGGACTGTACCTCAGATAGGAGGTCGAACCCTGCCTCCTCCAGGGAGTGTAAATGTTTGCCCTTTCACTACCTGGAGTTTCATCAGAAGGAGAAAGCAAAACTCCCCACTCTTCCCCACTCCACGGCCCACAAATCAACAGTCTCCTCCCATCCCCAGCTCCAACAGGCTCATCCGTTATTGTCCTTTACCATAGAGCTTGGCAGTAATGCTGGGTCCATGATGGCGGCTGAACTTTTTGGTCAGAAAAATGGCATACTCATCATAGTTGGTGTGTGCCACATAGGATTCCATGGTTATATTCCATTCTGTGTAGGAGATGTGGGCAGAGCAAAGAGTCAGTGGTCAGAAGGCTCTTCTACCTGGAGAGCCATCGTCCAGTCACTCACACATCACGTCTCCATCTATCCTAGTCACAGTCACTTCTGGGAACTCATTTGCCTTTCATCTACCTGCAGTCTCTCTCCAGCCTCTCATTGATCTTCCCATACAGTCATTAATTTATCCACACCACTCTACCAACCAGTCTTCTCTAAGACCTTCCTTCCTTTCCTTCCTTCCTCCTTTCCTTTCCTTTCGTTTTTCCTTTCCTTTCCTTTTGTTTTTCCTTTCCTTTCGTTTTTCCTTTCCTTTCATTTTTCCTTTCCTTTCCCCTTTCCTTTCCCCTTCCCTTCCCTTCCCTTCCCTTCCTCCTGTCACATCTCCTCCCCCTCACTTACTGGATTTGTGGTAGAGGAACTTCCCAGCAGTGTCTGTCTTCTCATAAGCCCCCGATGTCTCCTCACAGACGCCTCTCCTGGAAATGAACAAAACAAAAGCCTCAGGTGGAGACCAAGTCCGAACTGCCTTCCTACCAGGCTCTTTCCAAATGTCCTGTTTTCCTTTTTCTTTTCTGTTTTTAATTTCAAAATTAACATTTCCAAACATCTTGGTCTCACACCAGCCCTGGGAGACCCGCATTCAACCCAGGAGGGAACAGAGAGGGACAGAGAAAAGGGACAGATCCATGCCATCTTCTTGCAAAGCCAGCACTGTCCTGTATCAGATCTACACATTACACTGTTCCCAGGAAGTCGGATGTAAAATGTCATTGGATACAGTCTTCGCCTCACATGGCTGTTGAGGGGACCAAATGAGTAGGATCCATGAAGAGATTAGGGTGAACACCGTGGGCATCTGAGCTGTTATTGCTACAATAATTACAGCTCATCCAATCAACGGTGCTTGGGAGACGTACGTGAGCCAAGCACTGTGCTGCATTCTGGGAACACTGAGCAGAGCAAGACAGGCCCATCCTTTCATGGGGCTCACAGTCACATGGTCACACAAGCAGACACAAGTAATGTGATCAGAGCTATGTGGGAGAGCTCAAAGGAGGGAATGTGACCTGCACCTGGGGGTCTGGGAGGACTTCCTTGGTGACATGGAACCTAAGTCCTAAGGAATTAATGTAGAGGTCGAAAGAGGTGCAAAGGCCTGGATGTGCAAGTGGTGAAGGGTTCTGGGAACTGAAAGAGCCACGGACCACATGGGAAAGGGTGAGGCAGGGAGTGATGACAGCCAGGAGAAGTCCAGAAGACAGCATCAAAGGTTCCAGTCTTACTCCTGGGGGCATTGGGGAGTCATGGAAGTCTCTCAAATAGATAAAAGTTTTTGAAAGGTCTTTCTGATTGTTGGGGAAAGAATGAATTGGATGGAGGGATTAAGACTGGTAGTGGGAAGAAGACCAGAATGGTTGCAGTAAACAACGGGGTAGGAAGGAAGATGGCTTGGACCAGGGTGACAGCAGAGAGGAAGGGAAGAGATGGAAGGGACTTAGGAGAAGGAACAGTTCTTGATGGACTGAATGGTTGGTGGCAGGAGACAGAGCAGTCTAGGAACCTCAGACCCCTGCTCCAGGATCCCAGGTTGGGTCCCTGGGGTAGCAATGCCCTTCCTGAGCTAAGAAACAGCCAGAGAAGAGGAGCAGGTCACAAGAGGGGCATAGCTTTGGGGGCACAGCCTGTATGATTTAGACAGAATGAAGAGAAAGGGCCCTCCTCGTGGCAGGAGTGAAGGGACCCAGTGCTCAGAGGAGCCAGGAGTGAAGAAATGTAAGTTTCCAGGACAGGATGGGGTCCCTGGTCCCTCCCACTCCCCCACTCACCGCCAATGAGTGCGGATCATGCTGATCTCGGCCTCCGTGGCCCCCTTGCTCAGCACCAGCGTACTCATGCTCATCTTGTCCTTGACCCTCTTCAACCACGGGCAGGTGGAGCCGATGGCCAGGTTGAACCATTTCCCGTACATCTAGGAGGAGACACAAGCTCCGATCTGGACTTGCTTCAGACCTCAGAGAAGACTGGCCTGACATTTGCTCTCCTCCCTCTCAGTGACCAGATGGCCCTAACTGACAAGGTCTCGTGGCTGGAACTGTGGACACCAGCAAGCTTCAGAAGGAGGTGGGCAGCAGGAGCCCCTTTGCTCCAAAGAAGGCCACACTCCGTGGGGATGTCTGGCTGCCCAGTGGGTGGAAGTCCAATACTCGTGCTCTGGGGTCACCAGCCTCTGCTGCCCAAGTCCTGTCTTTTATTCCTCCCATGATGGGGCATGTACCCCTCAGGGCAGCCCACAGCTCCATAGTAGCAGGTATCACGACAGTACAGTGACCCTGTCCAGGCTTCCTCTTGACGGCACATCAGAGAGCTGGAGGAGCCTTGTGTTCCCATGGAAAAGCCATCAAGTCAGCCCCTTCACCATCCCAAACTACCAGAAGGTTCTGCTCCTTGGCCCCTCTGCCCACACCTGTCCTTTGTCCCTAAAGTAAAGAAAGGTCACCTATCTACACACGTGGAAAGGTCTGAGAGACCTTCATGTACAGATGTGGAGACTGGATGTAGACAGGCAAGGTCTTCAAGGTCACTGTGTGATTATAGTCCCGCTGGGATTGTAGGCAGCTCTAGGGCCACACACGCATGCACGTGCGCACACTAGAGTCCACCCCAGGCGAGGGTGCTCCCTGGGCCCATGCCTCTTAATCCACCAGTGTCCCCCTACCCCATCAATCTCAGTTCTGCTTCTCTTCCTCCCATAATCCCACATGCCTGACCGAAAAGCTCATGGGCTCGTGCTAGTCCTGGCCATCCTGTGTGTGGATTTGCCTAAGGAGCCCTCCAGGACTGAGCAGAAGGTGCAGACATTTGGCTCTTCAAATATCAAGCGAGGGTCCCATGGAATGAGTGACAGATGGACAGAGCTGTAGCTTCAAAGAATCCCAGAATTCCCAGCAGTCTGAGCAGGAGGCCCTTTGGGACTGGACCCCTGGAGCTCCACATGGGGGGACTGAGACCCAGGACAGTCAGAGCCTGCCCAGTAAAGTCCAGTGTCTTGGACACAGCACCACTGTGGCACCTCGGCCAACCTTACCCGGGAGACGTCGAAGTTCTCCTGCACTTGGATGTCATCTGGTGGTGTCGGCACAGGGCCGGCACTCGCTACCAGGCAGGTGGTCAGCAGCAGACACAGGGCCCCAAGACCCTGCATGGTTCTGGGCTCTTCTGCCTCACGTGTCTCACAGTTCAGTCTAGGAACAGAGGGGCCACCTCCCTGCTAAGGGCCACTGTGGACTGAGGCTGGGGAAGGTGCCTGAGGCTTGTAAGTGACCTTGGTGTTTGCTCTGCGCAGCCAGGACCAATCAGGGCCCCGAGGCCAGCTCTGATCAATCCCTGCAGGCTAGCTGGGGTTGACCTCTGTAGCCAGGAGGCCCTGGTGGCTTTCTCAGAGGGACATTGGCCAAACACAATAGGCCTCAGCCCCAGGATGGCTTCCCTGCTGTACCCCTGCCTGTCACAAGGGCCTTGTGAAGATGAGGATGAGGATGAATGTGGGTGACAGGAAGAACCTGGGCTTTCCTTCTGGGATATTCCACCTGGACTTCAGACTCATGAACTAGTCTGTGGAGCCTGATTTGGGCCCATTTCTCACATGACAAAATTAAGGCTCAGGGAGAGGAAGGGACTTAGAAAGGCCACGGGGAGGTCTGCGGCAGAACAAGGCTAGAAACTGAGCATCCTGCCCTGGAGTTCTTTCTCTGACCCCTGGCATCCTGTAGTCCTGCGAATAACAAGAGAAATACTAACGAAGTTGAGAGACCAGCGTTCTTCACTGAGCACCTGGTGTGTGTTGGCTTTGTCCCCAGCACTTTGCACATGACACAGGATTGAGCTGAACCCCCACACCCATCTCAGGAAGTTGGTGCTATTTTCCCACTGTACAGACAGAGGACTGAGTCTTCAAGTGACATGACAGGCCCAGGGTCCCCTACTAGGACAGGCAGCATTCAGCAGTGATTGAGAGCAGGGACTCAGGAGCCAGGCAGCCGACTGCAGTACTCCTGCTGTGTGGCCTTGGGCGGGTCGCTCAACCCCTCAGTGCCTCAGTTCCCTCATCTGGAAATAGGGATGACAACGTTGCTGGGTCCATGCGTGGGGGTGAGGGTGGAGGCATTAATGCTGGTGAGAAAACCACAGCCCGTCCTTACAGGAAGCTGAACGCATCTGTGGTGGATTGAGTGGTGTTTCCTCCCAAATTCATCTCCTAAAATGCAAAGACCAGTGTCTTCATAAGAGAACAGAGACCAACTCAGAGATAGAAACACAGAAAGGCGCACAGGACAGTGGGCCATGTGAAGAAGAGGCTGAGAGTAGATGGATACAGCTGTAGGTCAGCTGCCAAGGCTGATGGCAGCCACCAGAGGCTGTAAGAGACAAAGGCTATTCCTCCCCAGAGCCCCCCAAGGGAACCGGCTCTAAAGACCTGGTCTCCAAGCCTCCGATCTCCAGTGCTGTGACAGCTTACAATAGCCATTGGAGCCTGGAATGAGCCCTTCAGGCAAACAGTTCTGAGAGCAAGCCCTCTCTGCTCTGTGAGAATTCAGGGATTCCCCTGCACCATCAGTGCATGAACACATGGTGTGTTGCGTTCCTTTTGCAATGCCCAGGGAGTACATTCCTCCTTTCTCTGGTATCTGGAACAAGTATGTCTCTATTTATAAGAGAGTGTGTTTCCCTGGGTCCATAACAGTTTGGACACTGAGTGCCTTTCCTTTTTGCCTTGGCTGCCAGGAAGCACAAAGCCACAATACACATTTAAACACAGCAACTGTCTTGGCTTAACTTTCTGGAGTAGTTTTCTTCCCTTGTGTTCACAAAGTTCCTCAGTCTTTCATAGTTCGGCTAGTTGTGGTCCAAGAGGTTGTCTAAGTGAAAGGGAGTATAGAATACTCAAAGCCAGGTACCCTGACTTCTTATTCTGTGTGAATTCCAGGGACAGTTTTCCCTTTCTGAAGCCCTCTTTCCTAAACTGTAAGCTGATGATAAAAGTCCTACCTAAGACAGAAATTCGTGAAAAACTAGCTAAAATGTACACGACTACACCAGATGTCATTTTTGTATTTGGATTCAGAACCCATTTTTGTGGTGAAAAGACAACTGGCTTTGGCATGATTTATGATTCCTTGGATTATGCAAAGAAAAATGAGCCCAAACACAGACTTGCAAGACATGGCTTGTATGAGAAGAAAAAGACCTCAAGGAAACAGTGAAAGGAACGTAAAAATAGGATGGAGAAAGTCAGGGACAGGAAAGGCCAATGTTGGTGCTGGCAAAAAGCCGAAGGAATAAGGATTCAACAATGACTTTAACTGCCATGATTGTGTGGGTTTTCCATGAGGATTACTAAACTGTAAACATCTGCGGAACAAAAAAAGTCCTTGTTCTGCCTGTCAACAGGTCAAAAGAGACATTGTTTGTGGAACTGCTACATAAACTGTCCACTGTACCCAGGTGACACTCAGAGTGCCTGCCCCCTGCTTGGGTTGAACAGAGTTACCAAGATGGTCCATCTGACTTCACAGCAGGTCTGCAGCTGAAGAGTTAGCAACCCCTTGTCCAGAGGGGAAGCCCAAAGCACACATGGAGGGGGGGCGGCAACTCCAATACCCATTTTTGGGGCAGGGCTGTTCATTCAGCCTGTCGGGAGTGGAGGCGGATGGAAGATGGGTCCAGGAAGAGTTGATCTCTTCTCTAGCTGGTATGTTTGTGCTCCTGAGATTATTAACCAGAACAAACAAAGGGGAAATACTGTCCAGGTGCCCTGGACTTTGAACTGCTTTTTAAAAATTAACCAGGGACACAGGAGGCAAAGCAGGCAATGTCTGGGGCACTGGCCCTGTTTCACTCTGGCTCTCTGGGTTGGGGATGAAAAGGCTGGGCCTCTGCCCTCCTAGGGGCAACAAGGGTCCAAAAGTCCACAGAAATCACCCAGTTTCTGGAACTATTTCAAGGGGAGGAGAAGGGCCTGTCCCACAAAGGAGTCCTGGGGGGTGCCCAGCACAGTATGACATGGAGGTCAGGGGATGGGGACAACTGGAAGAGTGAGAGTTCACAGGACACAAGCGCAGGCAAGGGTGGGGGGCATGGGGGAGAGGGGAAGGTGCTCCCAGCACAGGAAGCAGCAATTGCAAGTCTCAGAGGAGGAAAACGGAGAGAGAAATGCATTTGGGATGCAAAAGATAAAAATTTTTTTAAATCCATAGGGGGCTTTGGGGGGACAGAGGGAAGAGGACAGGCCAGCTGGGGAGGTGGCAGGGTTACCAGGCTGGCACCCTGGGTACACAGAGGTGCTGGTAGGTAATCATCAGAGATCCATCAGGAGAGGAAGGAGTCCCGGGGCAGACTCCTAGCAGGCTTCTCAGAAAGAAGGAAGGGCAGGCACTGAGACAGGGTCACTGCTCCAGCAGAGACATCAGGGATGCTGGGGGTGTGGTCAAAGCTTAGGCCTCCTCTGCTAATGGAGGAAGGACACAGCAGGATGACCCTCCTTCCTGACTGGGAGGCCTTTTCCCAAATCCCTGCCCTGCTCAGTTCTCTGTTGCAACCTGTCCCTTGGGGGCACCAAGGCAAAGCTCAAAGAGCCCAGGACTCCATGGCCAGCCAAGTGGGAGGGGACGTCCTCACTGCCCAGCTATTTCATTTCTCATCCCTAAACCTTGTCCCAAAGAGCAAGGCCACCCAGAAACTTGAGTCAGTCTTTGTGACTCGCTGTTGACCATGGGGCAGTCCTGCCCCTCACTGGCTTCCACTTCTTCATCTGAACCTCCAAACAGGGCAGTGTTCACTCATGTGACATGGCTGAAATGAGGACTGGATGGCAGCGCTTGTGAAAATGCTCCATATGTGAGCAGACTGGTGTCATCACAGGCACTCAGTGCAGGGCAGAGGGTTAGGGCTCCCTAAGTGGCTGGAATTGCACTGAGGTGTGCTGTCCCTGTCCACCAGGGGGCAGCAGAGAACTTTCAGAAAGCCCATGGACCTCTCAGAGGCTGGAGCAAAGGTCCATTAAAAAATCAGGACCATTAATCTCAAATTAAACATTAATGCAATAAGAAAAAAAAAGAGAAAAACCAGGGCTAGAGCCTGTTCATCCTTTCCCCAAGCCTGCTTACAACTCCTTGGTGAGTGCAAAAACTCAGCTTCCACCTTGCCCTTGCCCTTCCCTGTCCATACCCCTGCTTGGGTAGAGTTGGTAGGGACCATGAAGACTCCTGTAATCTGAGTAACTACTGGATTAAATTCTTCCTGTTCTGCCCCCTGTTGAGCACTCTGCCAGGATGCCTCACTGAATTCTCTGTTAAGGCTCTTACTCCCTGGGAGTACTCTTTGGCAGATAGGAAACCAAGGCTGAGCAATCAGGTGATAGGGTGTCAAAGTCACCCAGTCAGTGAGTGAGTAGCGATGCAAACCCGGATCTGTCTCCCTGACACCCAGGGCTCTCTGTTGACCCCCAGACCCTGTAGTCTGATAACCAGCAGGACCTCTGGGTCATGTTCTTTTCGACACCTGGAGCTAAGGTCTCCTTCATTAGCATCTCCATGACAAAAGTCAGGCTCATGTGAGCCCATTTCTCCCTTCCTTGTTCAACAGTGTGCCAGGTGAGCCTCTCTTCTTCCTTGGGGTCTGGCACTAAGCTGGGCACATACAGGCGCTCAGTGAACTGGTGATTGACTTAAAGCCACAGGTAGAATTCAGGTCAGACTTTGGAAAGGGCCATGTAGAAGACAGCTAGAAGAGACTTGAGATGGAAATCAATGTGCCCAAGTCCTTCAGTAGTGACCAAGGAAAGAGTGAGCACATGAATGAATGGTGGGGTACCCAATGGTACAGTTAAACAGCAAAGAGCCCTCGCCCCATGGTGGTTTGCCTGGTCATTGACTTTGGGTCTGTGTGGCAGTGGCTAAGAGCAGCAGACCTTTTGACCCACACAGACCTGGGTACCAGCTGTGACTGTGACCCCCGCTGCCTGTTTGATCTTATCTAAGTGACTTGCCCCTTCTGAGTCTTTTCCTATGTTGAGTGGGATTCATCAGAGCTGATAGAGGTGCATGACGTCCTGCTCTTGGTCCTTGGAGAGAACTTGGCGTAGTCCATGTGCCCAGAGGTATTGTCAACACAGGTTCATAAATGCAGGAGCCGGCAGCTTACCCTGGAGAAGCAGCTCACAAAGTGGGGCACTCTGGAGTTCACAGTATCCTTGAGAGCTGCCCACCCTGGGGACAGAGATGGTGGTCTAGAGTCCACCCCTGTGGAAGGTGAGTCCAGGCCAGGCTTACCTGCCCATTGAAACACGACCTCCAGGGTGTCTGTGCTGACTCCTGGTGACTCAGCGGATGCCTGCAAAGACTACAATTGCTCTTTCCTGAAACCATGAGGCAACCTGGGCTCTTTGCAAAGTCCCACTGGTGTTCCTCAAGACAGACAAATGAATTTCTCTCAACCAGTTGCTTGGAAAGACAGCATGGCTTCTTCCCCAGCTTTTCCCCTGCCTGGCCGCTGCTCTAAGAAAATCCATAACACAGGATCACCTTGTAGGAAGCAGCCGGCAGAGCTGAAGTCACCAGGTTCACAGGTGTGTGATAGCAAGAGTCCAGACACTGACACAATCCCTCCCCACAAGTGAGGAGTGACAGCACACTGGTGCTAAGGGAAGGAGTAATAGTAGTTGTAAGGTACTGCCGAATAAAGACCACGCCACATGTGGAAAAGATTTATTGGAACCAGACCACAGGGCTGTCATTCTTTTCAGGCTCAGAGTGAAGCAGCTTGGCTGAAAACGGGTAGTGGGCTTTATAGGAGGGACCAAGCCATGGGGAAGGGAGGGAGAGAGTCTCTGGTCTCTGATTATCTGCGATCACCAAATGGAACAGATCGACATGCCTGGCTAGCTGAGTAACTGGAAGTTCCTGAGTTGTTTTGCAAGCCGAGAAACAATCAGGCAGGGAAACAGGCAGGGGAGAAACAAGCGGTCATAAATCAGGGGGTCTGGTTTCGGTGCTAGCCTCAGGACCTTCCGCCCGCTCCAAGAATGCCAGGGACCTAACAGTAGTAACAACCAGAACCTAGCACTGCCTGCCAGAACCTGTTCTACAGTTTCCAGGGATTCACTTCTAATTCCCCATGAGTGCTTACTTCCTTTAAGCTTAAACTAATTTTATTTCCACTTTACAGAGGAGAAAACTGAGTTTCAAAGAGCTTAACTACCTAGTCCAGGATCCCGCAGCTGGTAGGTTGCGCAGATGGAGGCTAAGAAAGGGGCAAAGTCTGCCTAAGGCTTGACAGGCTGGAAGATGACCCAGCTCTCCTGCCTCCCTTCCCAGGGCCCTGCCCACCAAAGGCTGGTCTTCAGGGCTGCACTTCTGGTTCTCTAAGTTCCACAATGTCCTGCTTCACTGGGTAGCTTGTGAAGAATTCCTTTGTCTTTGGGGTGGTGATGCCTCCTCTGGGGGAGGAGGGGGAGGAGCTTGGGAAATCTCTCTGCCTTATCAAAGCTTAGCGTGATCCAGCCTTGCTGGGATGTGCCAGGCGTTGGTGGAGGCTCCTCCACTGTGCCCAGGAGTCCCTGAGCTGGAGGGAAATTGTTCCTCTATCTACCCTCTTGCTGTGGTCCTGCTGTGTAGCACTCAGTGTGGTGGTCAGGGGCAGACAACTCACCTACAAAGCCCACTCCTGCCACCTACTGGCTGTGGGGCCTTCAGCAAGTTCCTGAATCTTGCCAGGTTTCCTCACTGCAAGGTAAGATAACAGCTTCGTACAGTTGTGAGGAACAAAGACACAAGTGCTGTGAGCAGTGCTTGGCACCAGATAAAGGTGCTAATTGTCACTTTTTATTTCCATTGCATAGTCATTGATGCCTGCTTGTCCTTATTTGGCTGGAAGCTCCTTGAGGGAAGGGAAGTGGTTCAGGATCAGGGTGGTGTCACTCAGTAAGAGGCCTGGCCTGTAAGCAGGGACTTATGACCATGTGACAAATGAGAAATTACAGGACCAGAACTGAATGTAGGTTCTCTGTCCATCTGTTGAAGCTCTTCCATGCTGGCTGGCCAGGGTAAACGTCAGTGCTGGCCAGGGAGCCTGTCTGGCTCACACTCTGGTCTGTAGCACAGCAGGCTTAGAACCCAGGTCTCCCAATTCCAGTGCTGTCCCCAGTCACAGCACTAACCTGTCTACGAGTTCCAGTTGCTGCTGCCCCTAGTTCCAACAAGACCACACCTACTCACACATTGCGCTGCCATGTATGTTTGCCTAAAAACGGAGGCAAATGAATCCTTAGAAGCTCAACAAGAAGATGCAAATGGGAGAGTTATTTTCCCACTTGACACACAAAATCCCATAAGGGGGCGAAGCCCACCCGAACAGGGATGAAACTGAGTAAGAATTTGGGGCAAATGTGTCAAATGAGAGAAAGCAGGGCACACTGGGGATGATCGGGGCAGGCTGGTGTGACTGAAGCAGGATATGTTCTTGGCAAGGGGGCAACTCTCGTATGGATGCCAAAACTTGCAGTGTGCCTGGGGGTTGGCCCCAAGGAGACTTCACAACCTTTCAAACATGTCCACAAGAGTGCTCTTCCTGAAGCTTTTGCCATCCTACAGCCTTGCTTTCTGTCTTGCCCCAACTCGCTGCACTGGCTAAAGATGGGGTCCCCAAGAATCTGGAAAAGTCCACCAGAGATCTAGACATCCAGGTTCCTGGAGATTTGTCAAAGTTCCAGAAACTCATGGATGGCCTTCAAAGCTCTAGCCAATGTCCTCCCTACCACACCCCCATTAAGCCAAAGATCTTAGAGAATTCTTTGAACTTCTCTTCAATGTTCTAAAATTCCAGAGATCTTGTAGGGATTTGGAATTCTGGGAAATTCCTAGTGCCTCAGCGTTTCCAAGAGCTGCTCTCTATTCTGCTGTTCTGAGGCTCCGTATCAACAGTTCTGGAGAATTACTACCTGGGTCAGGGGGCCATAACCCTACTCTAAGTTCCAACAGTTTGCAGAAGGTCTGTGGCTTTTGGGTTTCTCGAGGAGCACTCCTGAGGACAGTTCTGATAAGGGCCAGAAGGGTCCACAGTCTTGCTTGATCTGGGACTGGAGTCCTGTGGAATCCCCCAGGGTTCAGGGATCCTAGGACAATGGTGTTCTGGAGGGAGGGTGCTGACTGAGAGATGGACAGATGGCTTGGGAGACTGGGGACAGTGATGGCCAAGTCCCCTGAGGCCTGTGTCTTGCAGAGAAGGGATGTGGGGCATTTGCTGAGTTGGAGCAGGAGCTGGCACTAGGAAACTAGAAAACCGTGGCTGGCTCCGCCGGGAATAGTCCAAACATGAACAAGTCGGCCAGGGCCAGGGTCCTGCTGGGTGGTCCCCATCCATCCTCCTGGGGTGGCTAAGCAAAGCTGTCATGCTCAGAGCCAGGGGCCTCTGCTGCCTGCGGCCGGGGACCTCCCAGCAAGTAGGGTCACAGGCTGTGAGATAAGGATTGTGGGGGCTGAGGAGGAGCCCGGATGTGAACTTACAGAGCCACCCAAGCTGACGTGACATGGCATCAACGTGTTAAAAAGGGGGGCTTGATGGCATGCTCTCCCTCCTCCTTTGGGTCCCTGTGCAAATGTCATGTCCACGAGACCTTTCTAGAACCCCATATTTAGAGTTGGACCCCTGCCCCAGCAGAGCCTGAACCTCCTGCCCTGCTCTATTTTGCTGCACAGAATTTATCGCCATCAGACCCACCACCTAGCTGTCTGTTTGCTTGTATACAGTGTGCGTTACTTGAGTGAGGAGTCTTGTGCTCTGTTCACCATAGGTGTTTGCAGAATGAATAACATTTGAGCCTTAACTTCAACTCCATCAAGTTGTCATGTTGACTACAGTTGCTTTTGACAAAATCCTCTGCAAGAGGCAAAGCCTGGTACAACCTTCTTTCCCAGTGTCTGGAAATTTCATGCCCATGACAGCTCTGTAAAGGGACACTATTATTGTGCCCATTCTGGACATGAGGTGACTCGGACTCAGAGCAGGACACTTGCCGTGTCCCCCACCCCATTTAAGTGACTGAAAACCAGAAGGGAGAGTGCAGGCCCTGCCCAGAGTCCTACAGCAAGCCAGGCCTCCTGGCTCCTCCAGCACCAGGGCACACACAGCTGGCACAGGGCAAGCAGGCCCCTTGACCACTTCCCACCTCGGCTCCAGCCAAATTAGTGTCCCCACTTCACCATCGGCTCTCCTCTCATCTGCCAGTGCCCCTTAGTTTCTTGGCTAATACAAGAAAGGAGATGGAAGTCTAGGCCTCTTTGCACCACCTGTGCCAAGAGGCCTTGCTCCTCCTCAGACTCTCCCAAGAGCCCCTCCCCTTGTGATTCCCATATGCAGGAATGACTGCCACTCCAAAGAGAGGACCAACCAGACTTGGAGCTGACACCTCTCTTTATTCATAGATGTCACCCGCTGCCTAGTTTCTCCTGAATCCTGTCTCATTTGTCTCCACCCCCAGCCCCAAAGGCTGGGTGTCACCATCCCCATTCTCAGACACAGAGATAAGAGGTTCCAGAGTACAGAGCCAGCCAAGGGCACACAGCAGCCTCTGTTTCCACTCTGCCTTCAGCGGGGAGGTCGGTCTTGGCCAGGGCTCCTCGCACCCTCACTGAGGGGTGGCTGGCTCTGGCCCCGTCGCAGGGAGTTGCCGATCTGGTGCCGGAGGGCCTCCAGTCTCTGGGCCAGATTGGGGACCCCCACCCCATCTGAGGAACAGTGGAACTCAAGGTCTGCACTCCCTGGGCCTTCCTCCCAGGCCCGCCCAGGCCCAGCATCCTCTGCAGGAGCCTCAGGACGTACCTGCCGCCTCCCATCCACACACCCAGCTCCAGTAGCTACCTGAGTCTATAGGTAACCCTGTGACGAGACCTCCAAGGTTGGAAACAAGGAAGACCCTAAAAACCACCTTGCAACCCCACACTATTTCGGTGATGGGAGGCCTTAGGCCTGGCAATAAACCCTCCCTCCCCTGCCACTTCACCTCTCAGCACAGGTGGTGCACTTGGGGACCCCATGGGCAGCGGGGGAGCAGAAGGGACTACTTCCTCCTCAGTCAGCATCTCAGCTAGGACTTGAGTCTGGGTCCAGTCACTGTGATTCCTGGGCCAGGGCAAGTGGGCAGTGGGAGGTGAGCCTCTGTTACCCCAGATCTTCCTGCCCCCCACCCAGTGCCAGGAATGGGCTCACTTCTCTTTTGGGCACTTGGCAGAACCTGGGCTTCGTGGGGGAGCCCAGGGTGGCGGCCGGGCAGACAGGAGCATGCCACCATGGGCCTCAGGGTCCAGCACCTGCAGGAAAGACCAGAGCCGACCTTCAGTGACCTCAGTCCTCTGTCCCACTCCCTGCTAGCCATGATTCCAGCCGCACCAGCCCCATGGGGTGCCAAGAATGGCAGGTCATCACAAGGACTGGGGCCTTGGTGCCTTCGTCTGTGGGCTGCAGATGGTTCTATTAATGTCCTCTCCCAAGACAGGGACTATGTCTGGTCTACTTTTGAATCCTCGAAGCCCAGAACATATGGGGGATTCAAATGTTCAAAACTTTAGCTTAGGGGAGATTTGCTGGAGAGGGACGAATGTGTGAGGAAGTAAATGCACAGACAGCCAAATGTGTATGTGAAGGACAGAACAAGCCAATGACAGTGCATTCCTAAAAGAAGACAGGCCAGGGAATTGAGGCAAACACACATTCTGAACCCTGAGCAGAGGCTCGGAGCCACTCCCCATAACCCAGCCTGGAGCCCTGGGATTGCTGAGCCCTAGATCCAGGCCCTCAGTTCTCCCAGCCCCCACTTCTGGCCTTTCCTACCTGTGGCAGGTGGCACTCCCGCCGTAGGCAGGCCCAGCGGGTTAGGGGTGCTCGGCACAGAGGGCACAGGTGGCAGCAGGGACAAGAGCAGAGGGGTGGCAGTGCCTGTAAAAGGGTGTATCAGTGGCTCTGTGACATCCCAGCTTGTCACCCTTCCAGTTGGGCAGTAAGACTCACATGGCAGGGGGCAGCTGGCATCATCAAGCAGGGGCATGGTGGGGCAGGTGCTGGCTGGTGAAGTGAGCAGGCAGAGAGGAGGCGCCTGGGCAGAAGAGAGGTCTGAGCCTGCGGTCCCCCTTCCTTCCCAGGCTGATCACCGGGTCCCTCCAACAAACCCCCAGAGCCCTTGTTAGGGGCTGATGCTGCTCTTCCTGCTTGCCGTTGACCCATCCCCCATTCTCCAACAATTCTTCAAGCCAGGCAAACTATGACCCCGCTGTGCAGAAGTGGAGCCCAGGTGGTGAGGCCAAATGCTTGGCCCAAGGTGACACAGACAGGAGGTGGCAGAGCTAGAACCTGAACCCAGATGGTGGACCGCAGAAGCCAGACACTCACCCCGTTTTGTGAAGCCCCCTTTCCCAGCTGCCCTGTGTCCCAAGCCTGTCTGCAGGGGTGGCCATGCTCACCTTTCCAGCTCATGGACCTGCTGGGCCAGGACGCGCTGCCCATCCTGGGCCAGGTCTCGGCTACCCTGCAGCTGGCTCACCTCTTTCCTGGGGGACAGCAGGCCCCAGGTGACAGAGACAGGGTTGTGGGGTTATCGGTCAGCCCCTCCTCATGGCAGGGAGTACCAGCCCCAGGGAGGTATCCTCTGGAGACAGAGGAGAGCCAAGGACTAGGAAGGGGAGGCAGCTTGGCTAACACAGTCAAGCACTGAGGGGTGGGGACAGTCTCCTGGCTGTGGCTGGGCCCTACCTGAGCCTCTCATTCTCCAGCATGAACTCATGCAGCATCGCGTAGAGGTTCCGCTGGGCCCAGGCCATCCGGGCCCCATGGAGCCCGGGGGCTGCAGGGAAGCAGTGGGTAACTGGATGCACAGAGCTCCGGGCCCTATTTGCACTTTACCCCCTCCCCAGGAGCTCATACCCTTGGGATCCACTCTGTCCAGCTGGAGCCGCAAGCGACGGTTCTCCTCCCGGAGCTGCAGCACCTCGACCTCCACACGCTGGGGTTGCTTTGCCCCGGGGGACTGTGGAGAGAGGGGCCCAGAGTCTCCTTTAAAACTGCACATGTTGTGCGCTGCACAAGGGCTTACAGATATGGGAAGTTAGCAGGCCTAAAGTCCAGCCAGGGCTTCACTATTCAGCCTCGCATCCCCAAGGCTGCACCATGGGGTGGGGCAGGGCACCTTGCTTTAACTGCCATCACCTTGAGGGTCCTATTCAGAGCTCTCCCAATCTTGGCCCCCAAGTTCAGACCCTAAAATGAGCCCCCCATCAGACCATAACTTAACTCAGACTTAGCCATAATACTGATTGAGATCCTGGACAGACAGACCCTAAATCATAGCCTGGCTTAGACTCCCACCCTACACCTGCCCAGACCCTGGAGGTGACCTTCGCTAAGAGCCAGACCCCAGCCTAACCAACCATGACACCATTTCCAGGTTTCTGACCACAATCCCACTCTGACCCCATCTCAGTCTTCAACCATGATGCCAACAGAGGCTCTGGCTGCCGCCTGGTGGGGGAAGATGGTGCTCTTCTGTCTCCCCTGCCTTTCCTCTGCCTGTGCCCCTCTCTGCTCACCTTGGGGCCCTGTGGCCGGGTGGTGACGCGCTGAGCTCGGCTTGCATATCTCAGGGTGCTGAGCGTCTCAGGGAGGCACTGGGCTGAAGGGGACACACAGGCCACCTGGGGAAGACCTCTCCTGAGTGGCCCTTTCTAGGAGTCCCTGCCTTGGAACCCAGACCTCCCCACCAATCCTCCTCGAGTACCATGAGAGTGACCCCACGCCCCCCCAGTGAGTCTGCTAGCAACTTGGTGAGCTTGCTGTCCCGGAAAGGAATGTGGCTTTGCTTCCGCTGTGGGTCCAGCAGCAGGGAGAGGCAGTGACCTGGTGGGGAAAGCAAGGGCCACAAAGAGGTTATACGGCCTACCCAAAGCCATCCAGCTTAGACACTGCAGAGCCAGGGTCTCCACTGAGGCTCACAAAACTGCAAACCCATCTTTCCACAGGATCTTGCTACTGCTTCAAGCTGGTCTCCATCTCCACCCAAGAGCACAGATGCCCTGTCCTTCCTGATCTCCAAGGTGCAGAGAGGTGCTGGCACTTGGCAAGGGTTCAGAAATCCCTAACAAATGACTGAATGAAAAGGACTTTCAACAGCTGTTCCCAAGCACGCTATGGAGTGTGAGGCCTTAAGGATCTAGGTCCAATAACCTGGGGTGCAGACCCAGTTCCATTCCCTTCCCCTACTGTGCCTGTCTTCCAACTGCACAAGAGACAGGTGGAGTGTCTCTGAGGCAGTCACACCCTGAAGCAGGCTGGTCCTACTTCCCAAGTCAGAATGTTACTTTACAGACCCTTAGTGTGTGGACTGAAGCAATATTCCAAGACAGGGAAGTCATTCCCAGAGCTGGGGCCAGAATGAGGCCTCTGGGTCCTGGCTCTTAGTTCTCCAGCCCTCACCTGCACAACTCCTGTGGTTCCCCCCATGGGCAGCTGTGGGCCTGGTGCAGAGGTAGGACATGGGAAATCAGACCACATGGTCCCAGGTCTCACCCAGGGCCAGCAGGCTGCGGTTGATGCTGTTGGCCTCCAGCATAAGCTCCCCACGGGATCCTGTGGCTGCCACCTTCTCACTGCCCGCCAAGTCTACGAAGCACAGTTTCCCACCAACAGGGGGCTCTCTGGGGTCCACTGAAGGCATCTGCTGGGACTGGGGAACCAGGGCTTGCTGTGAACTTGGGAGGTACTGTTCCCTTCAAAGTCACAGGTCACAAGGTCAAGGATTTCCATTATTACTTCCCCTTCTCCATGCATGCCCAAGTAGGTTTACACTTGCAGAGGGAGACCCTTGCTGGGTGGCCCTGGACCAGACCTTTCCCAGACCAGTCACTCACAGCTGGGCGGCTGACATAGAGCGTGAGCAGGGCGTGACTTCTGCTGGAGGCCTGGTTCAGGGTGTGAGCAGAGCTCCTTCTACGGCTTAGACCTGGAGGGGAAACATCAGGTCTCCTGGAGCTGCTCCTGGTAAGAAGAATGGGTCATTGCCAATGTAGAGAGAGGGATTAGGCAGAGGGACCAGTATGGGGCAGAGACAGGGGGCCGGAGAATGGTGATGGGTTGGAGAGTAGGGGACTTCGGGTTGGGCTCTAGAGTAGATAGATGTGGGGCGGGGGTGGAGAAAAGGGAGCAGGATAGTTGAATTTACATTCCATAAACAACTCTCCTTTGCTGTGTGGAAGGAGAGAGAGACAGAGAGAGAGAGAGAGAGAGAGAAACCAGTCAAGTCAGTGGAGAGGTATGGCATAATTCAGAGTCCCAGTGTCCCCATTACCTGCCAAAGGAGGGGTGTCCAATAAAAGTTCAAATGACTGAATAAGGATAGATGGGAAGGGCCTCACAGGCTAGGCTAAGAGGTACGACCCTCACCCTCAGGCCTGGGATGGTGGAGAGTCTGAGCAGAAAGGGATGTTGTTTGCTACATGGAGAGAGGGTTGGAAAGGATGAATCTGGAAATCAGAAAGACCAGGCCTGACCAGGCAGAGGCCCTGGACTGGGGGAGGTGTGGGCCTGGAAGGAGTATGGAACGCTCAGTCAGCAGGCCTTGTGGAGGGGGCATTTTTGGCTTTGGCTTTGAATTATGGGTTTGCTGATCACACTCAAGAGTCATTTCTGAAGCTCCAGCTCCAACCAGGTCCCCAGGCCACACTTGGGGAGGGCTGAGGAACAGGAAACCCACTCCCAAATCTCCTCCAAAGTAGGCCCACCCATCTGCAGAAGCTCCATCAGGGCCTCCAGACTCCCAAACTCCACCACCCGCAGCTGCTCCACGTAGAAGCCCCTGGTCTTGTTCCAGCGCACCAGGAGGGGCCGGGAAGACCCCAGGCTCAGCAAGTCCCGAACCTGGGAGGAAAAAGACAGGGGGAAGGGGAGGGCTCCCATCTACCCCAGCCCTTGGAGACCACGGCCCCACCTCTTCTTCTGCCCCTTGGCCTGGTTCCTTTTAAAGCAGGCCTGTTTCCTACCAGGCGGTCTTTCCACAACTCCTCCCTTACCTTACCTGCTCATTGTAGATCTCCAGGTAGGAGGCGTGGAGGGTGACAGGGGCACCTAGGTGCTGCACTCGGTCTAACAGCCAGGCGAAGGTCCTCTGCATGATGCCGGCCAGGCTGGGGGGCACGGGCACCCCTTCCCCCTGGGGGGCAAATACCGAAGCACAGCACAGTAAGAACCATCCTCTTTGAAGCACTCCAGGAACTGTGCAAGTCCCACACAACATCTCACTTAATTCTCACAGTCTGTATTATTAGTTCCACTTCACACATGAAAAAACTGAAGCCTAGTAAGTATAAAGGGGCTCCAAACTGGTCCGGCCCCTTCCCTCGGGTCCTCATTTGCTTTGTCTGCCTTTGAGCAGGGAGGGGCTGCATTGTCCCTCCGACTCTGTGCTGGGTCTCCAGAGCCCCACCCCCCACCCCCCCCACCCCGACCTCGCGGGCTCATCTGGCGCTTGGCCCACCTGGGGAGGGGGTCCGGTCAAGGTGTAGGTCTTCCCGGATCCTGTCTGGCCGAAGGTGAAGACTGTGCAGGAGAAGCTGTGGGCGGCAGGGACGTGGCTGGACCGGGCAGCGGCGGGGGCGGGGCAGCGTGGGGACCGTCGCCCAGCGGAGCCCGGGCCTCACTTACCCGCGCAGCGCCAGCTCTGCCAGGCGACGCACGCCGCACGCCCGGAACACGTCCTCCTGCGTGCGCGCCCCGTCCAGCACGGCGCCGAAGCGGAAGGCCACGTCGGGGCCCCCGCCCGGGGGGCTCACCTGGGGAGGGGGCGAGGGCAGAGCACCCGGAGGGCTGAGAGACTCCCCGGGGAGGGCCGGGCTGGGGCGAAGTTGCCTGCGGGTAGCACGTGGCTCCCCTCCCCTCTGGGGGGGGGACTGGGGAGAGTTTCTCACCTGCAGGGTCCGAGTCCCTGAGCAGTGCAGCGCGCTCTGCTCGCCTCGTCGCAATTCCGCTGCGCTCATGGGACGCACCCTGGAAGCCAGGAGGAGGCCGGCCGCATGGTCCATCCTGATGTCTCCATCGGTCCCTCCCTTGCCTGCCCGGTGCCTCCCAGCCTACCCGTACTCACCTGAGCACCACTTGGATGGGCGTTTCTGGCCCCTCTGCCCCCTGCTCCAGGCTCCACGCGGGGTCCCTGTGGCCGCAGCTCGAGTTACCATCCCTGCGCCCAGCCTCTCTGTCCTCTGGCGGGCGTTCAGGGCTTTCCCAACCGTGCTGAAGCTGTGCTTACCCATCGGGAGACCCGCGTTCCTCCATGTCCTGCTCTGCACACGGTTAGCTCCACCGAGTTTTGTTCCTTTCCCTCCCTAGTACCCTCCCTCTCCACCAGCCTGGGACTGCACATCTTACAGGCTCCCCCCACCCACCCCAACACACACCCCTTCCCAGGCAGCCATCTGGAAAGGCTCCTGCCTGCCCAGGGCTAGGTAGTTAAAGATTTACCCACCCCCACCACTACAGTGGGGAAAGTCCCAAGCCAGGGAGGGCCTCCTAGTCAGGGGGTTCTGAAGTCTGAGGATCCCTTGTTCTTGGAAAATCCTATCAGGACGGACCCATGAGACCATCCAGGCTAACCTGCATGCACAGATGGGGACATAAACCCCAGGTGGGAAGGACTCAGCCAAGGGCCACAGAGGCAGCCTAGGCAGAGCTTGGACCGGGCTCATAGTACTCCCTGGACATACCCCTTTCCCAATAGCTTCTGCTTTTTCTCAGCTCAGAACCCAGGAGGAGAGGAGTCTTGTCTCTAGGGAGGGGCCCAGGTCAGCTCTAGGCAAGACCTGGCTGGCTGGTCTCTGAGCTGAGAGCAAGTTTTCCGCATCTGGTTAAACATTGGCACACCTGCCTCTGTAATGCCAAGGCTAATCCAAGGCCAGTGCCGTGTTTAACTCCTCTGGTCTGGTTTTCTAGAGCCAGAGATGTTTGTAAGTGTGCTGGGGCCAGGCAACACTGCATGTGCCAGTCCCTGGCCGGACACTAAGGCAGAGCAAGCATGGCTGACCTGCCCCTAGCTCATATCTGGCTGAGGGGACAGGTAAGAAGGATCCAGTGTGCAGGGCCTTTGGGGAGCTCAGAGGCCTGTGGAACAGGAGGGAGTAGTGAGGGTGGCAGAGGACAGATTTCAGGAAAGCAACAGCAGGGTGTGGAGATGTAGCAAGGAGAGGTGGTCTGAGGCTGGATGGAGCTGAAGAAGGGCACATCTCAGAGTCTGGACTCAGGGATGGTGGAAGCCACCAAGGGTTACAAACAGGGAGGTGGCACAATCAGACTGACATTGTTTCTATTGCCATTCTGGCCATTTCTGTATATTCTCTGAAAATATTCTGTGTATTCTCTGAAAATTCTACAAACTCCTTTCTCCTAAATACACATTAGGGTGAGAGCCCTGAAAAGCACCACCCTGCAATGTAGCACACTCTGCCACCACAAATGACAGCCAGATATCAAAGCCACCCTTAATGGAGAATGGGTAGCAATAAGCTTACCATGCACTGGAGGTATGCAAGCAAGGGCCAGAGGCCTTTGGTTATAGGACCTTCTAGTTGAATCAGAAGAGGAGCACTGCTCCCAGATCTGCCACTAACTGGGTCTTTCTTAACTGTTTCCTTCCTGTACAAAGGGATCAGTGATCCCCCTTGTTCTGAGATGTCGATGAGACCTTGTAATTGAAAGTGTTTCATAAGTTGTAAAGATTACCTTTGAGCAAAAAGAAAAATCTCTAGGTCATCTCTAAGATTTCTTTAATTCTGAAGTTCCTTAATCTGTTATATTTCTTGAATCCTTGAAATGAGGACTGACAAAGTGGCTCAAATGGTAGACTATCTGCCTAGCAAGCACAGAGTTCAACCCTCCAGTACCACAAAAAAAAAATCATTGCAATGGATAGGACAAGAATTACTACCTGTGTTTCAGATGCAAAAACTGAGGAAAACAGGGGTGGGCAGGAGGAGACTGTCTAAGGAGAAAGCACTATACATGGTGACACTCTAAGACTTGGGTCTTTATTCTGGGTTGATAATGGAGGTGATGAAAAGGGGTCAAATCTTTTTTTGTGTGTGAGACTGGCATTTGAACTCAGGGCTTTGTACTTGCAAAGCAGGCACTCTGCTGCTTGAGCCACACCTCCAGTCCATTTTTCTCTGGTTATTTTAGTCTTGAGAACTATTTGCTGGGGCTGGCCTCCAATTGTGATCCTCCCAATCTCAGCCTCCTAAGTAGCTAGGAGTAGAGGTGTGAGCTCAGGAGTAAGATCTTAAAGTCAACATTTGTTAAAATTTTGAATGAATTATGTAAGGGACATAAAGATAAATAAAAACATCTTGTCCACCTTAAACTGTTGAAGACCAAAAGCAAAGAAAAATTCCTGAAAGCAGCCTTAGGAAAAAAAATTCAGTCTTCAAGGCAGCAGCAATAGACTGCTGATTAATTTCAAGTGAAACTATGGACACTCGCAAACAATGGAAAGACATCTTTAGAAAAATTAAGAACCAAAACTTGACCTTGAATTACGTGACAAGAAAAACATTCTTCACGAATGTAGGTAAAATAGACAGTCTTGAACAGACGCTGAGATGATTCACCTCTGGCTGATCACCACTACAAGAGATACTAAAGGAAGGACTTTCTATGTTGAATGAAATGATTCTATAGGGAGCATGGAACTACAGGAAGAAATAAAGGGTACCAGAAAGAGTGACTATGGAATCCTAGTGACTGCCTGAGAGAAAGTAATGCTAACGTCTTGCTGGAATGGTAAAACCTATGGAAGTAAATACACATGATGGCAGGATAAAAGATAGGAGGGGTGAGTGGAGTGGAGCTATAGAATTGTAGAACGGGCTCTCCATTTATTTAGGAAATGACAAAAGCACTAATTTAAGGTGACTATAATAGGTCTAGGATGTATAATGAAATCTTTAAGGGAATTGCTTTAAAAATAAGAGTGGAAATTAAGAAGTTAGTAATAGAGGAAAATGAATTAAAATTGCTTGATTATTCAAAAGAGGGCAAAAAAGGAGAAATAAAGCCACAAAAAACCAATTGGAACAAATAGAAAGCAAACAATGAGATGAAATCAAATCAATTGTATCAGTAAGTATAACTGGTCCTCTGTAGCTGAGTTCTGCAACAGCAGATTCAGCCAAACGTGGACAGAAAATGTTAGAAAAAATTGCATCTGTACTGAACATGTATGGGTTTTTCTTGTCATTAGTCCCTAAACAACAAATACAACAGCTATTTACATAGCTTGCACTGCATTAGATGTTATGAGTAATCTAGAAATGATTTAAAGTTTTTTGGGGGGAATCTTCATAGGTTGGATGCAAACACTATAGCATTTTAAAGAAGGGACTTGAACACTGGCTTTTGGTGTCCTCAGAGGGTCCTGGAACCAATTCCCCATAGATACCAAAGAACAATTGCATAATAGTGCTACATAGCTAAGCACTCCAAACAAAAGACAAAGACTAGGGCTGGGGTTGAGAATCAAGAATCAGATGGGGTTCCCATCTGCCTAGCAAGTATGGGAACTGAAGTTCAAACCCCACTACCACCAAAACAAGATAGAAGATTAGTAGACTGAATTCAAAACTAAAATTTGTCTCTGTTCTAAATAAATAAATAAAATCCCACTCAAATATAAGAAAAGAAATACAAAAAGTTATACCATACAAGCCCTAACCAAAAGAAAATGGTGCAGGTGTTTTAACATCAAAGTGGACTCCACAGCAGGAAACATTGATGGGCATGATGAGAAGCATTTCGTGTGATCCAACAGGAAGACGTAATGATCTTGTAGGGTATTCATCCAATAATAGAATTCAAAGGAGAAACAGACAAATCCATCATCACATATGGCAACCTTTGCTTTATAAGTAACTAATAGAACAGGTAAAAATTCATTAAAGAAATGGATTTGCCACAACACTGTTATGTACTTGATCTAAACAACATATACAGAACTCTAAACTAGTGACTGTAGAATACACATTTTCATCAAGTGTACATAAAACATTCCTCAAGTTAGGCATTGAGCTGTAAAGCCACTCTCAGCAATTTTTAGCGATTGAAATCATGTTGAGTATGCTCTCTGCCATAGAAGAATTGACGTACAATCAATAAAGGAAACGAGAACATAACCCCCAAATGATCAGACACCAAACAAGACCACATCTAAGTGCCTCTGGGTCAAAGAAGAAATCACAATGGTGATTCAGAAATATTTTGATATTAATAATAATGCAAGTACAACACAGTTAAGCAGTGTTTAAAGAGAAATATTTAGTCCTAAATGCTTATATTAGGATCAGTTATCAAAGTTTTCATCTCAGAAAACTAGAAAAATAATAGCATATGAAATCCAAACAAAGAAGGAAAGAAATTGCCTGGCTAGAGCACAGATCAATGAAATACATAGCTGACATCCAATAGAAAGCCAAAAGTTAGGTTTTTGATAAGATGATTAACTTGTATAAATACTTAGCAAACTAATAAAGAAAATGAAAACCGCCAATATTAGAAATTTAAAAGGGAATTTTGCCACAGATATTACAGACATTAAGAGAATAAGATTTTGTGAATAGCTTTATGCTAGCAAACCTGAACTTGACCATGTATTCCTGCTAAAGAGTTCAAAGTGCTAAAATGGATAGGAGAAAAGAGTAGAATATCTGAATAGACTGATATCTGTTAAACAAGTTGAATGGTAATTAAAAACCTTCCCACAAAGGAAGTTCTTGGCTTGGATGGCTTTGCTGGGGGATCGTCCAAACACTGAAGGAAGCAATAATATCAATCTTACTCAAACACTCAGCAACAGAGCCACAGGGAGCATTTCCAAGCTCGGTTTTTTTAAACCCAGGCTAGCCTGACCATGATATCCAATCTTTACAATGACATCATCCAAAAAGAAAATTGCAGGCTATTATGGCCAATGAATACAAATAGAAAGATTCCAAACAATTTCTAGCAAATCAAACTGAGCAACAGACTGGGCGAATTTATTCTGGTGACATGGAAGTTGCTTTAACATTTGAAAATTGGTCACTGTAATTTAACACACCAAAGGAGAAAATCAAATGGTCAACAGATAATGAAAAGACACAATGAAATTTAACACTTATTCATGATAAAAGCACTCAACAACTAGGAGGAATATGACGGAAATTCCTTAACTTAATAAAGCTTACCTACAAAAAATCTTCAGGTAACAACCTATTTAATGATGAAAACTACTACCTCTTGCACTATAGTAG